GAATTTTGTGGTACTTGAGATGTTTCAGAAACCTTCTTTCCGCCATCACGCGCAGCAGTTGTTATGTCTTCACCGAAAAGTCGTAAACTGAGCGCACTAAGAACAGTCGATGGGTTACCCAGGGAAACGGGATGATTGTATGTCGAACGAACCTTTTTGCCTTCTTGTCGATCATGAGAGTCACGGATACATTGGACTTCCACAAAGGTAAAAGGAGGTCGTGTGACAGCCTATTGACGTCAGCTAGATGCAAGTACCAGTCTGTAATACACCTACGTTGAGTCGTTTGATTGACCAGCTGAGAATCGAACAATATGACTCCCAGGACCTACAGCCCGATGTAAGCGAAGTACGATCAAATGGTTATTTGCAAGAGCCTTACTTCTGTTTTCAATGACAGATCGGAACGGGTCCGAAAACGATGCGCAGAGCGGATAGTACGTTATCAAAAGAGTCTTCAGAGTCGCAAACTCAGCGTCTAATATCACACTCGGGTCGATATACGGAAGAACGACGGGTAAACCTTCCCCAAGAACACGGAACTGCGCCTCAAGTCCCCGTCCTGCCTCTTGCTTGGTAATAACCTTCGTCCCACTCGTCATCAGACGCATGCGAGTGTAGTCGTTGTTCAGAACGACAGCTTTCACAAGGTCGTTTGTAAGATAGAAAGATCGTACCGCATCACCTTCCGGATTGCGGACAAGGACGTTCGACGACGGGAAGCTGGCCATAAGATTAAGCTGATCTCTGTGATAGTGTGAATTGGAGTCTGAATATGATGCAGAAACACGCACATGCAGGACATCAAGGTTGGATCATTGGGTTCGAGGAAGGTATAGGGCATTTCCTTGAAGGAGGGATCCGAGAGCTTGGGTTTACCCTTGAATGTAGTTTTCTTCGTGTCAGTAACAGCCTGCACATCTGCCTGCACAGTGTCCAATACCAACAGGCGTGAACTATCGTCCTCGGACATTGGTGTAGGCGGAAATGAAGCACTTGGTTGGGGTTCTGGCAGACTGTCGAGGTCAAGTTTAACCTTTTTGGCTTCCGGGGCAGTGATCTCAGCTTCCTCTGCATCTCTTTTCCTGGACAAGCGTAAGAAATGATTCTGGGAAAGATGGCGCTTGAACCTACACTGCAGCGCTCGTATGACTGCTTCGCAACTTTCTTTCGAGTACAGCAACGAAGAATCCACCCGTATCCTGAAGATGGGGATATATTCGCATACTTGTGAAACTTCGTAGTCAGAAGACGTTTTAATGCAACTGGTACGAGGTGAAACTTACCAGTGCTGCAGCTGTAGGGAATCCGCGTTAATAGGTGGCCAGTGCGTCTCCGACATCTTACTATCTGCTCGCTGTTCCTCCGTCAGAGTTTCGTTGTATGCATCCCATGTTTTGAAAGTTGTATTTATTGTGCGATTGACGGTGGGTGCCCACGAACTGATGCCCGCTCGTCTGACCAGCTCCGGCAACTGCGCGGAAACGTCGACTAACTGGAAATCTATATTATGCGTCAACATACTGCAATGATCGATCTGTAACGGCCTGAAATCACCCACCATGATTAGAGTTCAAAGCAGCTGCTATAACTGCTTCGTTTTCGACGGGATTAAGCGAACAAGTCGAATAAACAATGCGACCGTCAGGCTCCAACATGCGCATGGCCCGCTGCAGGATGCGGGTTTGGAGGCTGTTAAAAATGAGCTGATGAAGGATGAGCGCATGTACTGAACAGACCTGTGCAGGCCATTCCCATCCATAGGCTGCCACCGCTTCCATATCCCAATATTCTTTCGTAGCGTGCCATCACCACTGCAAGGTACATCACATAAAATGCGATCGAACAGGAGTTGATTCGAAGACTTTTTGATGCCACAGCGAGGATCCGCAGTTGTCATGGGAAGTCTTAGGACAGGGAAGATTGACGCGTCCAAATTCGTGACCATGAAAGCCGGACTGGGAAGACGAGCAGATTGGTGAATGAGAAGATGCGCCCGCTTGCTGTCGCTGTCATTCGCTATCAAAAGTCCCGGAGGAATAGAAGTTGCTGTTGCAGTGTCTTGCGCATGAAGAGCTTCCAATAGCTGCGCTGTCTAAGGTCTATCAAAGACGAACGCAATGGCGTAAGAAATGGGTTACCTTTGAACCAGGGGCGGCACACATGTCAACGACCTGCCGAGCTACGGTTTGTACTTTGAACATTACGGAAGCAGCCCGGCATACCTTACCTTATGGTGCGGCTGGACATCGAGGAACAACGGCGGAAGCATGCTGACCGCCTCTTGTCTTGATATATTGCCCTGTTACATGCATCATAGACCGCGTAACTCGAGGTGAAGGATCACGTACGACTTCGGTCTCGTGTACAAGGAAAGAGTGAAATTTTTTGAACGCTTGTTGTTTCCTCAGAACCTTCTTGGACACATTGAATTGCCAGGCCAGGTCTTCTGGATACCTGGTTAAGCACAGCATCAGTCTCACACAGTTTACGTATCTAGGGAATGTGACGCACCAAGGAATCCGAGATGGAGGCGGTACAACATCACCCTCAAAAACAACATCGCTCAACAACGGGACATAAGTTTTTTTGATAGCGTCATTGAGAGCATGAGCAATCCTAACACCTCCGTCATTGGAGTTGGCACGGGAGAACATAAAGGCACGTACTCTCGACTTCCGGCGATGCGGAAGGTGGTAGGTAAGGGACGTCTCAAGGCCTCCATGAACTGATCCCATTCCTCCTCAGGGATGATGTGCTGAGCCTTGTAATACGAGCTGAAGCGCTCATTTTTCATATCGCTCTTTTCTAGCATACCGCGATCGTCATCGTCCCGCGATTTTCCTGCTCGGCCTCCTCGCTGTCGTTTCTAAGAAATGAAGTATAGTGGAATTCATCCATGAGTATGGTTTGAGACAGAACTTCTTATTCACAGACCACATACCTTTGACCGAGTCATGACCCCGTTGGATTTAGGTCGACAATAGAGAACTGGCTGTCCTTGCAGTAGAAATGCAGCAAGATCCTCCAGGATATGCTGTAAACCTTATTTGGATCGTTGCAAGTTGTGAAGATAAGGAAAACCAACTTTAAGGTTAGGGTTTTGTAATCGTTTCATCGAGCACTGCCGCATCTTGAAATTCCACTGTCCAGCAGCGCAACCACATTTTGTTTGACTTCATTTTACTTGATATTGCATCATCAATTCATACGCGTTACTAAGACATGGGCTGGCTAAGTCAGGCTCTAGCAGTTTTCGTCTTCGTAACACGTTTGACGACTTGACATTGGTGATCGACTCAACAAACGACAAGCTTCTTCCGAGTCGCTCCTCAGAGACTGTATATTATTACACGTACTACGACTCCAGGCCTCTCCATCGTACAGCCCTACCTCAAAGCAGCTCATGATGGTCATTCAGAACGTATTCATCCTCGATGTCACCCTAACGCGCCTGCTGAAGTGCCCCATCCAATTTTATTCAGTCTCGATGCTACGTAAATGATATCGACTGCTCGAGTGCTGCAGGTGTCCCATCATCTTCAAGCCTTTTTCTGTGGCGTAACTGATGAGTATTGTGTTCACAGGACCTGACATTTGCGTCTGTGTATGATTCTTATTCGACGCACCCTAGCAACTGCCATAAATCATCCCAGACACATTCATTGTGCTGGATTTACTTTGACGTCCTCGAGATATTGGCTACCGAGGTACGTATCACTCATACTACTCGATCACATTACTGAAGTCCTCACCGCAGTTCTGGACCCAACAATTCTCTCGCATCGCTCCGCAGCGGCCGGCTGCCGAAGAATCTCCAAGCCGCAAAGCCCCATCAATCGCCCGGACTTCCCAGAAAACGAAGGCTGAGACTGCTCACCCTACGCTAGGGAAACGATGACGGCCTATCAAGAACCGATCATCTCGAAGGGCAGAATATCGTGAAGCATGAAGACGGAGACGATAGTTGTCGCGGGCGAGGTCAATACTGATTCGCTTTAGGTGGACAATTTCATTGGTTTCGGTGCTATTACTTACATCTCTGCCAAAGAAGGGCGATTGTGACACGAATGGTTTAAGGTAATAAGTCTGCGTTTGTCGCCCTGTCTTTGTCTTTCCGTGCATGTCGATCAAGGGATGTGAAGCGCAGAAGTTGAACCTCGCCAGTGACTGTGTCTAGCTTTGACCCTGTGGAACAAACAACCTTCCCTCGATATTTACATGGTTTCGCATCTCATGCCCGTTGTTCCTCACACCTGCCATGCATATACTAAGTCAGACGACCAGCTGATGATTCAATATTGTTTCCGTTCAGGTCTTAATCTTCCCGCTTCCGCATATGCACTGCCACGTTGCTTCCTCTGATTCCTAACGTGTCATGCGTCATGATTAGCCAGCCACTGATAATTGTTGACCAAAGCTCTCTATCATGTTGCTGGCTGCAGACCTCAACTCCTTCACAACAATGGCAATCCCCTCTCCCTGCTCTAAGCTTTATATCTCCGGCCCCGTCTCCAGACGCAACTCCTATAGCCGCCTCGGCCATCGCATGTACCGCTCCAGATATTCGAGAAAACGATCCACTCTTCCGATGAGCTGCTTGAGATTAGATTTCGAAGCGATTTGCATATACTTCTTGGTGTCATCCACAAGGACAGGAAGGAGCTCGGTATTGCGTGTGTTGTGAAAGTCATGGGGAGGGTAATTCCATGCACATCTCATCACGTCCACCACTGCTGCTCTGTGACAGAATAGAGCGATGTATTTGATGTTTGCTCAGGTGCGATTTGGAGTATGATACTAGCTATGTAAAAGGCATGTATAAAAACATTTTGGCTGTTCTGGTACATTGCGCAGCTGATTACGACCAGGTTCTGCTAATAGCGGCTAACTGATACCCCACCTGGGGTTGGGTTCGCCCAGAAATGACTGCATTAAGATACCTTACAATAGCAATGCTAAGAGTGTCGCAAGTACATTCAAACTCACATGCACAGCTTAGGACTCCAAAACATCACATAGGCACAAGGAAGACACAAGGAGGGCTACACCACCGGGATGAATATTACCATTATCATACGTGAATGAATACAAATTGTCAAGAAATACGACACTTTCTTCTATCTGAACGGCGCGAAACCGCATTACTGCAAACAAGCGTGCGGACTTTACCGTGTCCAGTCTCGACGAGCCTCTCTTCCTTCGTAAGATAACAGTAACAGTAGTCTAGAGAGACCAACATTTTGTGACAGCGTACATAACAATGAATATCGACTGCGAGTGAATGCTCAGGAAGAAGGAAACTTTCGGGGAATCTTTCCCTAGGATCCAAACAAGAGCAATCATGAAGCAGGAACTCCCTAAAATGTATGGGTTGCCGAGAGAGGCTATCAGAACGGCTGCTTGACTGACAGTTAATAAAATACGAGTCTTGATAGGGGATCCAAGAAGGACGGGTATGGTGGGGACTCCAGCCTTCTCGTCCTCATCAAAGTCACGCACGTCTGTCATAACCTTTCGGAGTTCGTGAGTTAGGAGTTCTATTACATGTAGAACACTGCCTTACAGAATGAACAATGCGATTAACCGTCGACCACATGACAATCTCAATGATCGTCCATGGGAGCGCGTTGAAATCTGACTTCCACGATGCCTGCAGTGAGGAGTGAACAACGAAAAATATCCCACAACTAAAATTCTTCAAATCAAAACCCATAAACCGTCGGAATGCAATATCACATACCCTCGGATGATGCCGTTGAATATAGCCTTCATGCCAGGGACTCGTTTGATGACGAATGGAGTACCAGGTATCGACGAACTATACCCCACTTCTTGACCATGCTTTGCGGGTAAGGATCTCTGGATGACCGCACCAATTCGCCGAGGGTTGAGCGGCGTCGCCCACAGGAAAGCGGGGGTAGTAAAAATCGCGGTGACGATAGTCATTTTTGGTGAACCTTGACATAAAGCGATCACAAGCAGTGATGCATTCAGGACCAGAAACATGCGGGTAAGAAAGAACAGGGAGGCGAAGCGTTGTTCAGCAGCTGCGCCGCATGCGCTAATGATAATTTTTTGGTCCTTAAAGTGGTCAATGCCGACAGCAAGAATGTCGCATGTAACGCATACGGTGATCTTTTGTACTGTTCAATCAGAAGACCGTAAAGACTGGAATACACAAACAGAGAGCTTACCGGCCTCCAGTCAAGTCGTTCAGCGATCACGTAGGACATGAGGGATGCGAGCACAAGACTGTTTATAGCCACGACGACGGGACGAATGATCACAGCGCCAATGAAGCCCGAAACTGTGGGTGTAGCCATTTTGTTGAGGTCAGTTTCTCCCTTGGTGGCTAGGATTTTATCTTTCCTACCATCTGAGCGCTTCGTGGGACATGCCAACGACAACACCGATGGTTAAATGTTAAGCAATATTAACGGAGTAGTGTAGAATGAAATAGGATAATAGCTGCTAGGCAGATTCAATATATTAATAGCGGACATTCTGTCTTGAATAAAGTTTGCTATGATCCGGTGACCGGGCCCGGCAACTGGGGTTGCCCAATTAGGAATTATTATACTCAATGTGCTTCGGCAACTGTGATCAGGCTCGTTTCTAAAAACCAGCATTAAATATGCTGATCCAAATTACATACGGCCTTCCTCCATCCTATGTACCTACAGGCTGTATACTATAGCCCTGTATGGCAGGCCGGCGGGTATTCGGAGTCCATCGGCAATGCATGGAAGCCTTCCCGCGCCCTCCCCTCAAACCAGAGTTGTTTCCTTAAATCTCATTCATCAAGGCGAATAAGGCAGTCAAACCATGTACAAGTTTCTTCCTGTACCAGGCCCCCCTTCTCGTGCACCCCTGACCTTGTCAGTGGAGTAGCTCTTTACGGCCGTTTCACAATAGTAGCGAAGGTGAGCGGACAGTTATCGTGACATCGACGCTGTGGAACCCAGTTATTGGAGAGTACCGCTAATGTGGCATTCGATACCTATGCGGAGATACCACATTTTGCGATAACTCTCTTCCCAGTGGGGCTTCATGCATGCATAATGGTCGTGCTTTCGCTGATCCATGTACTTACAATTAGCTCTAGATTTTGCAGCAGCACTCTCCGCTGCCAAGTCGTGCGTATTTGCATGATCAAGTGTGGGGTAAATATACGGTCAAATGTACGTCGTCATCAAATATTCAATCAAGTTGCCACAAGAATCGAGGTCTCGAAGTTGGTACCAAACATTAAGTTGTCTTTTGTAAGTTGCAATGTAAAAGGGTAGCCAAAGACAACTCACGTACACATGGATATCAATACCAGTAAGGATCTGCTTTACCTATCTTCTTGTACAGTATGGTCTCGAAACTCCTCGCCAACGCATAGGTGACAACTCCTACCACAAACCCTACGAACACACCAACGTCTCCACTGCCCTACCTCACTACTGGTCCTACATACCAAGCCTGTGATATGAATGGAACAAGAGCTCCGTATGCGCACACAAAAGCCACTACCGCTAGGAAAGAAAGCATATGAAGCTCAAGTCGCGATGGGGTACTGGACCTCAGAATATGAGGTTCGTCGGAATAATACATGCTCTGCGAGTATTATCGCAGAGAATACTGATGTGCAATATCCAATGATGTCTAAGAGATCAGCATGTTAGTGCTAACAATCGATACCGATATTTGGAACTTGTACTAAGGATGTCCACGAAGGTAGCATAAAACCTTTTGGCACCAACAATGGCCACTGGCACGAGGCCTGAATCAAAATCATGAACATCGCTGACGTTTGCATCCACTTGATGACACTTACATCCCCTCTGACCCGAGGATATATACCCATCTCGGCACCGCAGCAAACCACATAATAATAGCCATGAAACTGTTGCTGCATGTATATATCGATGGTGCACAGGCACCGGATATGCTGAGAGCGACCAAAGCAGTCAGGATTTTTCCAAATGCACCTGTAGGTAACAAGACGCTGTGTAACAAGCCACCGACAGAAGAGCTGTTATCAAATCCTGCATTCCAAGCAGGCATGCTTGGAGCTGCTGCTGCAAATGCGGCACCCAGAGCCTGACCAGTCACCTTTTTCAAAAGAAAAAGGTCAAGATGTAACTGACACTGACATAGATGGCTTACATTAGATATGAAGAACCCAAGATACGTGTAAACAAAAAATTTAGCGTTATGGGAATGTCAAGAGAGCCCTGATAATGACCAGGGACAGCTCACGAAGAAGCATCAGGGCTATGGTATACGTCATAGTCAGGGATTGTGGAACACCTGCCAATAATGTTAGATGCAAGAAACGATGCAAAAGACATGATATTAGCAGGTGTTGCCGAAGGGACGTGAGCGGATAGGTTTTCGCGTAGTTGTGGATAACCTATAGCCAACATGGCGATAAATGCAATTACATTCGGGATCCAGGCGACACTTTCGTACCTATGAGTCGGCATTCGGTCAGAATTCTGGATTATTGGTGTTAAAGTGGTCCCACCAATGAATAACGCGGTATCCACCTCGAAATCTGTCATTTGGTGCGGCGGGAGGAATTCAGACATACTACAAGGGATATGATACCAAGGGTATCATCAAAACGAGAAGACAGGCTTGCAAGCGTTTGTTCACCAATGATGCAGTTTATAACGAGGAAGCCTTCCGAGGAGAAAACATTGAAGACAGCTGGTACGATGGCACCGAAATACCTTGATATCCGGCAGTAGTGCATCATAAAGTCCCCAGAAACGTGCAGAGAAGAATAAAAGAACCCGCAAGAATCCTGGCAATAAACAACATCTAGCTGAAGGACAATCGCTGGAGATCGATATTTTGTGAATTGTTGGCTTACACCAGGTGAACAATGACGATGATAGCTATGGAGTCGCGAACTCCCAGGGGGAAAAGCAGGGCCAGCAGCTCAAAGCTATATCTGCAGGTGTTAGGCAGATCAGGGAAATGCACCAGAATTAAGACAGCGATAAAAGCACACACCAAGATATTCATGCAAGAGGAGAATCAAACGAAAAACAACTGGTACCACCGAGTCTCGAGACGTTCCTCCGCCAGCACCGGATGCTTATCCAAGGGTCAGCAAAAGCGCCAGGACAAGTGTCACAACTCCATCTCATTCACCCATGAGCTTCAATTCCATACCTAGAAAGTAATTGAGTAGTACATTTGAAGAATCCTATGTGATGGCGACTGTCCTCCATACTCTCATCCCTCGTATGCTCATCAGAGGACACAAATGGGTTTGTAATGATAATTCAACCGACCTGTCCTGTTTCCGCTCCGCTGCGTAAGACTGCATTGCGTGAGTAGTAATTAACCGTTTCAGTTTGGTTGATATGCAACAGCGTCAGTGAGAGTGCTAACCGAGTCGGGCGCATAAAATTCCTACAGGTTGCTAATGCTAAATGCTGTTAGTATAGGCGGAAGTAAAGCATGTGGGACTCGAAACTTTACTGATTATACATACTGGCACATCAAAACAGCATGATCTTTGATTGATCAATCGAACTTCTCGACTCGTATCTGTGTCGTTCCCGCTTCAAATTAGGAACGACGCAGCATGGTTCAGTGAACATATCTCTGCATACCACACGGAGGCAGTCAATTTACGGGTGCACATGGCATGTCCATCGTAAACCATTTAGCATTCAATTTTTAGACTATCTTGTCTCTTTGACGTCACAGAACAGTTCGTGTACATGCATGCTGTTTGCTTTAAGAAACGACTACTGCGAGGCATCTGATTTACTCATCTTCGTGTACCATAATTTTTTGGAACCCCTTGCCAAGTTCCAACGCGTATGTGATACTGAGCCCCCTCCACAAAATCCTACGTACACCCTGACATTTCCACTCCCATGCTTCGTCACTGGCATACCAAGCCTGCGACATGAATGGAACAAGAGCTCTCCAGCCGGACGCGAAGGCCACAACTGCGGAAATACCATTAGGCAAAAGAGTATACGAAGCCCCAAGGCGTGAAGGGATATTGATCCTTAGAGAACGAGGTTGGCCGATGAGTATTCGATGATATCTAAAATCTGAGGCCTTTTTAATAAACACATGAAAGACGCATTGCGCCTGAAGACGCCTACTGAGAGTGAAGTTACCTTGCGAAGCAAGGTCAGGTTCACATGGATCATTTCGTGTGATTTCCAAATAATAGTAAATACAGTGACGCCATACAACGTGATACGATGATGCGAACTTATCACCTACCTCCGATTTCCCTTCCAATACTTGTCGTTTTCTGAATAACAAAGTAATAACTTAGACCGTGCAACTCCCTCGCGCCCAGAGCTCCGCCCACAGGGCGAAGCTAGCGCGCTTCCCTTCCAATATTCGTTGTTTTCGGACAACTCCCTTTTTTGTTAATATGTTGGTAATAATGTGATGAATAAATAAAAATTAATCCTATAATTTTACGCCGCGCCCCTAAACATCGTATTTACTATCTATCTATCGAAACACCATGCAACCTAGCGTATTTGAACTGCTAAGTACCTCAGACAATCAATGTGCTTTCATTTTCAGTGAGTATAGACTGAGAATTACTGATATCGTTCTGGATCCCAGAGAGCCAAAGATTGGGAGCAACGCTGTGGAAGCAAAGAGAGCATTCTTGCGTTATCCCCCTGCATTTGTTATCATTCACCTCGACTTCTGTGATTTACCGCCATTGCACGGACTTCTGCCTCAGCACATACCAGTGTTACCTTGCGAAATTAAATTTTCCATGGGCACAGGTCCTTCTACAAGAATCACGCGGCGTCAACTCCCTGTAACACCAGCTTACGCATTTACCGACTTTAAAGCACAAGGACAGATGATTGATCACGTTTTAGTGGACATTGGAAGAACGACATGTTTTCGCCTATCTCCCTTCAATGCATACGTCGCACTATCCAGAAGTCACGGCCAAGAATGCATACGTCTTCTCAGAGACTTCGACAATGATCTATTCCTTCAACATCCAAACGAAGACCTTCGGATAGAAGATAACAGGATTGAGCGACTCGCGGAGGAAACGAAAAAGCGTTTCTCGAGGACAGACAGTCTGACAGAAAACAAGGTACCATAGTGCAGTACACTGAAAGAAACAATGTAGTAGTAGCTATAGTGATGTCAGAAGAAATCCTGGGACGAAGCCAGACTAAACGAGCACGATAGAGCTAGAAAAAGACGGAATGTGAGCAAGGTCCACGTCGGCAACGCCGACCCCTAGTTGGACAAACCAATTATAGTGGTTAGCCAGCGTGACGGAATTGAACATAATGTCACGATACCCAAAACAGAATATGTGTGACACCTGGATGGTGCGTGACGCGTCCCCGACGCGCGTCGAGACTTATTGGCTGCCAAGTACTTTAACTGTTTTAGCTCTATCATCTTAGAGACACACACGAGCTATGGCAGAACGACCAGTAGCAGATATTACAGTTCCGTCACAGGATCCAAAGGAGAAGAAGAAAGAAGAGGACAAGAAGCTAGACACTAAAGCGAATGGTGTAAAGGACGAGGAGGAGGAACTAGTGAGTGTTAATCACATTAGCGAAATCAATATTAGCTTGACTTATATCTTCCAGTCGGAAGAAGATGCACAGCTCAAATCCGAGCTGGAGATGCTCGTTGAACGGTTAAAGGTGCGTGCCACTCACGATCGAGGTAGAACAAGTAATTGAATTGGTAGCAGGAATTGAACACAGATCTCTACCGTCCTGCTCTTGAAACGCTCCGGACACTTATAAGAACATCCACGTCGTCCATGACTTCCGTTCCCAAACCACTCAAGTTTCTACGCCCACATTATCCCGGCCTGCAGGAGCTGTTCGAGACATGGCCAGCATCTGAAAACAAGGTGCGAGGAAATCCTTTTTGTATAACACTGGCTGATCATCTTGTAGAGTTTATTTGCCGATATTCTCTCTGTTCTCGCTATGACCTACTCCGATACTGAACCACGAGGAACCCTCCGCTATCGCCTTCTTTCTGCATCTCTCCTCCCTCCTACATCCAAAATTTCTGAACCTGGTTCTTGGGGGCATGAATACGTCCGTCATCTCGCTGCTGAACTAGGAGAGGAGTATACCATCCGTCAAGAGGGTGAAGAGGCAGTCCCCTTACCCGCAGCAGAAGCTGATTCAGACGCGCCTAAATCAAAGCCTGCTCCGGTCCCTGGCACCATCGAAGACTTACATAACCTCGGTTTAGAATGTGCCACGTTCTTCCTAGGACACAACGCCGAGCCAGACGCCGTAGACTTGTTCGTGGAGCTCGAGATTGTTGATCGGATCGCAAGTCTCGTAGATGCAAACACGTTCGGTCGTGTGTGTGCATATATGGATCGGTATGTTTACCTTGTACATATTCTCGTGTCTTTAATCTCTTTTATAGATGCGTCATGCTCCTCCCACCTCCTGATGATGTCACTTTCTTGCGCACGATACACAAGATCTACCTCCAATTTTCCAAATTCCCCGAGGCTCTCGGTGTGGCTATCCGCCTCAATGATGCTGCGCTCATTCGACAAGACTTCAACGCCTCTGGCAATCCGTGAGTCGTGTCATACGCGCATTGATATCCACTCATATCTGCTCAGAATAATGAAGAAGCAGCTTGCTTTCCTTCTTGCGCGTGCACAAATTCCGATCGAATGGCTGAAAGCGTCGGCTTCAGAAGACCCAGATGCTGACGCAGAAGATGAATTCCCAGAAGACATTCTAGACTGTCTAAGCAACACACAGCTCAGCAGACATTTCAAGGAGTTCGGGAAAGAAGTGGGCGTTGCAGATCCGAAGAGCCTTGAAGACGTCTACAAGAGTCATCTGGAGACTACGAGTGCGTTTTTGAAGCTATTTTTTGTCTGTTTCTGAACCATGATCAGGATCAGGGCTGTCTGCCAATGTCGACTCGGCTCGCGCTAACCTTGCAGGCACATTTGTCAATGCATTCGTTAACGCTGGTTTTGGTAACGATAAACTGATGGTAGAAGCTGAAGAGGGCAGCAGCTGGGTTTACAAGAACAAAGACCATGGTGACTATCTTACCAGTTCGTGAAGCCGGTATACTGACAACTTTTTTTTAGGCATGATGAGCGCTGCAGCCAGTCTTGGACTTGGACTCCTCTGGGATACGGATGTTGGTCTCAGCCACATCGACAGATATACATACTCCCCTGAAGAGTGGATCAAGGTATTATCTACTCCGTGTTACTATACATCCTCATTAATTATGTAGGCTGGTGCATTTTTAGCCACAGGCCTGCTGAATGCAGGTGTGCGCACGGAAGCAGATGCTGCCCTTGCACTCCTAGCAGAACACGTAGAGAACAAATCCGTCCCACTCAAAATAGCCGCAATCATGGGGCTCGGTGTAGCATACGCAGGCTCGCATCGCGAGGACTTACTCACTCTCCTCCTGCCTGCGGTCGCAGACGACGGTGTATCGATGGAGATTGCTGCACTCAGCGCGCTCGCGCTGGGATTCGTGTTCGTAGGCAGCGGGAACGGGGAGATTACGAGCACGATTCTACAGACGCTGATGGAGAGAGATGATAAAGCTCTGGACGAGAAGTGGGGTCGATTTATGGCGTTGGGGCTGGCGCTGCTTTATGTTGGTACGTTTTCATAGTTTTTTTTTGAGTTGAGAGACGTGTTGAGTCGGAGTCACAGGCTTGCAGGATGCTTCGGATGCCACACTCGAGACGCTGAAGGCTATTCAACATCCGATTTCAAGGCAGGCGCAGATTCTTGTGGAGGTGTGCTCCTTCGTTGCCACCGGGAACGTCTTGCGGGTGCAGAGATTGCTGCACTTGTGTGGCGAGCACCTTGATGCCCTCAAGGAGAAGGAGCAAGCTGAGAGTGCGGAGGGGAAGAAGGACGAGAACAAGGATGAGAAGAAAGAGGACAAGAAACCCGACGATACATTCCAATCGTTCGCCGTTCTCGGTATTGCGATGATCGCCATGGGAGAGGATATTGGTGCCGAGATGTCCATGAGGCAATTCAACCACTTGGTATAACTTTTCGAGAGAAATGATATGTAGTCGTCTTACTAACGGATATCATTCTCAGATGCACTACGGCGATCCCATCATCCGCAAATCTGTCCCCCTTGCCCTCGGCCTCATCAGCGCCTCAAATCCACAGCTCCCCGTCCTCGACACACTCTCAAAATACAGCCACGACCACGACCTCGCGGTCGCACTCAACGCCATCTTTGCAATGGGCCTCGTGGGCGCGGGCACGAACAACGCACGGCTTGCACAGATGCTCCGTCAGCTCGCGGGGTACTACTATAAGGAGCCTGATTGTTTGTTTATGGTCCGCATCGCGCAAGGTCTCGTACACATGGGCAAGGGCACGATTGGGATCAATCCTTTCTTCTCGGATAGAAACATCATGAGTCGACCGGCTGTTGCGGGTTTACTGGCGACAATCATGGCGTTTACGGATGCTAAAGCCTGTAAGTACTCTCGCTCTAATTCATGCAAACGTATTCTGATGAGCGCATATAGTCGTGCTCGACAAGTACCATTGGATGCTTTACTTCCTAGTGACTGCCATGTACCCTCGCTTCCTCATCACGCTCGATGAGAACCTCGAGAGCAAGCCTGTGACAGTTCGTGTCGGTCAGGTGAGTTCATAGTGTTCCCCTTCCGTGTCGCATACGGCACATCCTTATTCGTTACATAGGCTGTGGACGTCGTCGGCCAAGCTGGCAAACCACGCACGATATCAGGCTTCCAGACGCACCAGACGCCTGTACGACTGGGGACGACAGAGCGTGCAGAGTTGGCGACGGAAGAATTCATTCCGTATGCACATGTTCTAGAGGGCTTTGTTATACTACAGAAGAACCCTGGGTGGGAGAAGGAAGATACGATGCAAATGTAGGTATATTACATGTCGTTGTGCGTGAAAATTTGGAATACAGGATAGGGTATCACTTCTTTTACAATCAAAGGCGACACGAAACATGATGCATAAGGGGTATTAAACGGAAAACATCTCTTGGCCAGGACCCTGAACGCGACATAATATTGTAGGGCATGAGTCCTATATGCCGGGTTCTCCACACCACCGTTGACGCCAACGACTTCGCATCTGCATCTTTGCACCCTTGTTCGAGACAGCGGGTATGTTCCATTGAGGACGGCGTTATTCAGCACATTCGTGACGGGGACGAGGTAGAAGGCAGGGTGCGTTCCCACCATTGTGATGCGGAGTAAGGTCATCTGGGCAAGTGCAGGGAGGCCCATGGATTGTCGAATGTGGTTGTTGTGCTGGAATGCAGAGATGGCCTCTGCAATCACCTGTGGCTCAGGACTTTGGATATTCCGCGCCGCTTTGTTTTCTTTGATCACCTGGATCATCTTTGTGTCTGGATCCACCATGCAGACATTTGCTTCTGCAGATTTCTCCTCACCACAGATCCACAGAGAAATCCAGTGTCTTTCATGTATGAGTGAGTCGTGTTCCTTGAAGCCGCAAACGGTGAGAGCAAAATGAGCGAAGTCGTCGACCTTGGACTCGCGCGTTGTGACGTTGACAGCATTCAAGTACTGTAGGAATGTGTGTGTGTTCTGAGACACCGATAGTGTTGACTGTGGCAGTAGCTAGCGCTGGCTCGAGTCCTCCCAATGGTACGTTTGTCGGAGATGAAAAGAATTGTGCAAATTGTAGATCCAGTTACTGGCCGATTTCGTGGTAGAAAGGAAGTTGGACATGAGTGTTGGCCTTTGTACGTCGGCGTTATGTCAGGATGGAGAGAAGGGAAGACGAGCTGACAGAGAGTCAGGCTCCCAATTTACAGATTTGATGGATCTAGTAAAGAATCTGTTAAAGCAGGCTAATAGAAAAAGATTGTTGAACGATTGAGAGGAAAGGTCCAGCACCGCCAGAGCAGGGCTGGAAGGTGCCGCGTCTGAACTTGAAGCAACAATGCGGTGAAAAGAAAAAGCGAGGGACACGATATGGACTTTTAAGATACAGACCTTCTAGGCACGTTCGGATCAGGATTGATAGACGCAGACCGCGGGCTGTAGGAGACACGAATCTGACCCAAAGCACACTGATGATAGCCCTAAGCCTAGTGGGTGGGGTCGAAAGAACTGCAGACCGTTCAACACTTGTAACAAGCTCGCGGGGAGCTCAAGAGTGTGGAACACTTCGAAGAGGCGAAAATGCGAAACCTATAACCGACTTTAAATGAGAACGAGTATTCCATACGACAAATATATTTCTATGTGGCAGTGCGTGCTCCCTCGAATACCACAGAATTGCTTCGGTCTGTTCTTTTTTAGAACATCTGGCGAGGACACATCAAATGGTCATTTACCTGAGCTCCGACTAGCTTGGTCCCAGGTCTGCAGTTTCGGCAACATGTATGAGAAGTACTAGCAATTCTGAACCTCAATGCCCGTCGTTATGCCCTCTGAGACTCGGCGGGGACATCTTCATGCGCTATCTTTGCTAACAAATTGGCGGGATTGAAAAAGAGTAAAGTGCAGTAGAACAAACATAGTGCGAATGATATGTATAGTCAACTAGTCACATTCAGGTCTGTTTCAGTGATAATATTTGAATGACGATACTGGCTATAGTATAATTCAAACGCCGATCTAGTTGGAGACATCCGAGTCGTACTACCATCGCACTGCGCAGATACATCAATTCACCTTTGCCAATTTGCACTTACATAGCCGCATCCAACTGCATGGATGATGGCACGACAATCCACGAATTTGACGCGTCGACCCTCAAGACTGTTGGAGCCCCTTTCAAACACACTGAGAACATCCATAGTCTAGCACTCTCATCTGATTGTGTTCTTCTCGCCAGCTCTTCCGACCACTTGGGCCTTCGAGTCCCGCCAACTCCTCGCTTCATTCCACGTCTCGGAATTTCCCGAGCTCGTCCTCGCCCAATTTACGCCAACTAGCTTACACGATCTCCAATGACACTAAAATCTTCATATGTGACATTCCAGCCAACATCCTTACTAGCATTGGACTTGAAGCGCAGCCTAGTGTATGTATCCCCCACATACATACATCATTTATATGCTAATATTTTATAGACCAATAAATCTGATTCACGCCATGCTGGTCTGCTCAACGTATGTGGACCCGCCCTTTCCTTCATCTGCACCGCACTTTTATTCATTACAGTCCGATGCAACACCTCGTCCCGCGCGTCATAAACCAGTGATAATACCTGCCATGTCTCCCATCCCCCGACCTTTGCCTGCCAAGGATCCACATGCTCGCCTCCGCTTTCTACGCAAGCTCTTTTCTCGTACAGACGCGGGTCGCATCGATGAGCCTTATCTCCTGGATGTATGTTTCTTTTACCTGTTTGCCTCCAAGTTGACTCTACAGTTGACTCACAGTTCCCTGCTACATCGCCTCTACCTTGTCCACTTCCAAAGCACGACGAGAATGTGAGTGCGGACCTCTATCATCACGTGTCAAACTTACATTCCATCAGTCTCGACGCACACCAGCACCACCCACCACCCAATCCTCTGTCATCAATACTTCCCCGACCTTCAGATCAAATCGACTATCAAGCTGTTTGTTTTTGCGTCTAGTTATCGGGCATCTTGTTCGACGTTACTGTAATTGCTGCTCGTTGTATGTGTTGTCCTCCCTACACTCATGTCGAATTCATGGTCGCTATTGCCCCCTGAAGCGCTTGAGATATGATCACAGTGCCAATGGTCGATTCTGTCCAGACTCCAGTGTCTACGGCGCTCCGAGATATTGTCCCTGCGTTTCTATCTGTCATGAGCATTTACTATCCAGACTCCAGAGCCTTTTAACCTCCGACATAGCTGGCCTCCGCTGAAGGGACTTCATCGTGTTGAGTCAATTGTGGGTCCGCGCCTTGTTGCAATAGTTCACCTCGCATTGTGACATCTGTTGAGGCGCGCTCTCAAGATTTTACAGAGAAAATGTGTTGACATCTCTGATATTGATGCTTCTCAAGTTTTTCTTCGGGAGGGACGGGCGATGATGTCACAAATTGTTTCAACTCACCTACTCGCTCGTTCATTAGATATTCCAGCTCGCGCGTACATGAGAGGAGCGTGTGTATTATAACCAACAAATCACCAAATTACCATGATGATGATGATGATAGCAGTCATGACAGTGTGGACGAATAAATAATGTGTTATGCCATAGAGAATAGAGAATGCGTGTAGTAGGTGGAAAGACAAGTGAATGAACGACAGCAGATAATAAAAGACAGAAAATAGTCAGTAGCAGAATTGAAATATGGTTACATCTCATGGCCGTCCTTTGTCTCATTAGCCTCCCAAAAACCAGTGTCGTCATTATTATCGTTTTCGGCAGGCTCTGGGACCATGTTGTTCTCTGGTGATGAAGAGAAAACTTCAGGATTCGAAAAACTGGGCGTGCCACATGACTGCGAGATATAAGCTGTTGGGGGTGCGATCTCGACGTTCTGGGACATTGACGTGGGGAACATGGGGTATGGGTGAGAATAAGTGAGCGCAGTGGTAGATGCCATTGCAGGTGCAACAGAAGCAGAACTCGTGGAGTTCTGACTAGCTGAGTATGGCGGCGGAGCGCCCACAGCTATCGACTGTCCACACTTGCTATTGATCAAGTGCCGCTTGTAGGCATCGCGTCTCGTATACCTAATCACAACGATATTAATGATACGAGAAGCTTATTTGAGAGTTGGGATACGCACGTTTTGGAACAACCAGAGCACTTGAATTTCTCTAGTTTGAAGCCTAGGTGCTTTTTTGTCTTAAGGTGCTTGAGATAGCTTCCAGGATTGAGCACCATGCCGTCCCTAGAACACACGAATGTCCCGTTTGGTTGACCGAGTTGATCTAACACAGGGGTCTGTGCCGATGCTTGAGAATCAGACCTCACAAGATGAAAAGAAAACTCACAAATAACGGGTCGTCCTTCATTCCGCCGGGAGCTATTTTGGCTTGCTTGACATCGCAGTAATGGAGGTGTTCCGCGATGCGCTTTTGACTGATACTTGGCGCTTGAGGGAGAGACGAAAAAGTAGAGCCCGTTGCAGGCACAGGCCCGTGATTCTGGTGGAAGTATCCTTGGTGCGGTATGAGCGCAGCGTAAGGGTTTGCGGCTCCTGGAAAAGAAATAGGTTGATGGTACAGGGGGGTCGCGGATGGGCCTTGTGGGGGATGAGTAGCCGCAGTTTGCAGTGAGTATGGGCCATCATAAGTGGCACACGAGACATCGGCTCCTGGATTGGGATAATAACCATTTTGTCCCGTTTGGAACGCGTGATGCATGACTCCAGCACCGACACCAGGCGAAGGTGCGACCGGTGCGTATGATGGAGGGGCGCTATGCGTCCCGTTAGCTGACACACCATACGGGTAGTAGAAGCCTAGATAAGGAATGTGTGAGGGCTGGGGCCAGCGAAATCGACCCATATACATACAAGTGTTTGGCGTGTATTGGGTTGCATTGGAAGAATCGGAACCATGTGATGAGGAGACATGGGGAGTGAAGTGTCTCATCTGGTGGCAAGAAATACATACAGTGAGAAAACGTAGGTGTTGAAGCTCTGAACACACGTACCGGGGCCAACAGATAGTTGATTGAAATGTTAGGGTGTGTGTGTACGAGGTCGCAGTGGCAGTAGGTGCAGTGGGTGAGGGATAGATGATGAAGGCCACCGACGCAATATTTATATGCTCGTCCAGCGCCGCTTTGAAGGTATATCCTCGAGACGTGTTTCCACTGCAGGGGCCTTCCTTTGAGGAAACAATTTCTGTGGACCACCGTCATTCACTAAATGGGACGATGGTCCTTTGGATCGATGCGTTCAGCTTTGCATGCACGCTTGAGCTATTCGTTCTTGTTGCAGGCCCGCGATGCAAACACGAGCAGTGCATTGTCAATGCGCTGTGGATGTTTAGGTCCTCCTGAAGCTGACAATCTGATTGGAGCACTACAACGTATAAGAAGTTATAGCGAACAGATGAATCATAGTAGATTGAAGGCAGATTCGCGTGAGTGACGAGATCTATCAGGTCTCTGTGAGCCATGTCGGTGCTTCGGGAGAAACAGCTCGAGTTCAGTGGACTGGTCAACAACAATCACAAAGAACGAACCTACGCGAAGTGCAATAGACGATGCAAAACTTGATGCACGTCTCGCATCATCTTCTAAACGCGTGATATTAGAATCAGCTCACCGGCATCTGACTCAGAAAGACTCAAGCGCCAAGTGTCACAGACAATCATATTGCCATTGCATTTCCTTGTGAGTACTCACGCTTTATTCGTGTCCTTGATACATCGCAACATCCCGTCGTAGATTCAGGCCAAATCTGACTGTTCTAGCCAAGGTAGAGAACGGATCATTATTTTAGTTTCCTGCTTGCAAAACTACACCATTAAGTTGAAGGAAATCGCCGTCTTGCAGCGTTGGTCGCTTGACGCAAAAATGTGCCTTTGCCACCCTGCTGAGAGCCTGCAAGTGATCGCTTTTTAGTGCCTATATACGCGGTCATGAAGAGCACAAAGACATACCAAATTCAAGGAACGGCTTCCTGGCACGGAAGGATAGGTGAAAGGTAAAGAAGCAAAATTTCACTTATCCATGTCATCGACTCAAGAAAGCATCGAAGAACTTCTTCATTGTTAAACAGTCATCTCACGAATTGCTTTGCACCGCTACAGATCGTCAACACAGAGAAGCGACATCTGGATGTCCTGGTGCGACCTGAGTCCAGAAATCTGGATCGGATGAAGCGACAGCATGCGCAGGAAATCACTGGCTATGAAGATGGAGTTGCGTTATTGGTGAGCAGAAAGTGGTACCTGACAACATGGGTTTATTGTTGATGACTGCGATGTACGAGCGCATCGACATCGGCTTTCGGAGTGCAGCCAAACGTCAACCAGGTAATGTTTCCGGTCACGATCACTCCCGGTTCAAAAGCTCTCAATACTGATGAGTTTCAACCATGGGTAAAGTTTGCTTATCATTTGGTTGTCATATGACCTTCATATTCTTCTCCTGCCAATGCGCCTTACAGCTTGCGGTGGGCGGTGCGTGTCGAAAATCCTCTGCATCATGTTTGATGAGATTGATGCTCTGAGGCCATATTCGGAGTCGCATAAACTTGACAATGGTTTCAGATATAACGACAGAGGTATAGACACGCGCTTTAGTCGTCCATCAACGTGGATCCAGCAAAAATTGGTGTGCGTCACAATAGTCACGGCACATGCGTAGTGTCGTGGGCAGAGAGAAATTGACCTCCTGATGTATCAACATCCGAATCCCGATAGGCTCTTGTTCCGAAGGCGTTTGTTCAGTACTTGGCCCACATAGAACTGCTCGAAAATGCGGCCTAGTTCAATCTAGTGAGCTTTCAAACGAGATCAAGCCAGCTCTTTTTCATTTCTCGTAACCTTCAAGTTTTAACGCTTGGATTGTGATTCTAAGTGACCATGTACTAGCTTCTCACAGACGAATTTCATGCAATAAATTTCCTCCTAACTGGGAATCCATTACGCCCTGGCACATGAGAACCACACAAGAAGCATGCGGGTGGACGCCACTCCAAGGCCATCATAACTTGATAAGGTTACATGTGTGGATAGTATGGGGAGTCACGCTGTACAATGCACAGCCGTCTAGAAGATATAAATATAAAGAGATGGGACACGCGCCTATATGACCATCATCGCTCTTCCTTGCTAACGCCCTGGTAAGACCAAACCTCTGAGGATTACGCATGGATTGAGTCAAACTGACGATTGATTTGAGCAAGTAAGGTGCGCCAGCTCTCGAACGTGTGAGAGTTGACAATTACTCAACGTCAAGCCTAGCTTTATAGAGCATGAGGAGAACCCACCGGACACATCCATTGACCGACATCTTGCCGACCAGTCTGGCGAATACAGCTGTGATAGCTTCTAGCTCGATGCAGCCCGATGCAGCAGAGAACAAATCGATTCTAACACCAGTCATGACCTTGGAGGGACATGAACCATGGAAAGTTCTCCTTCCGGATGGTGACCATCACGAATACAAATATGTTTCGTGCATTTCCTATTCTCCTGACGGCAAGCAAATGATCAGCGGACCAGGCGATGAGACGATTCGGCGATGGGACCTGCGGGAGGGTAAGGAGATTGAGGAGGCTCGGGAGGTTTGTGATGATGGTATAAATGGGGTGGGGGTATCAAGGGATGGTCGATGGGTTGTCACTGCTGGCTATAGCCTGGGACTCCAAGTCAGTGGGGTTGAGACGGGTATCGTGAGAACATTTGACAATATTGGGTTGATCTTTTGCATCGATATCTCCGCGGACAGCGCGTTGGTAGCGGGTGGGTCAGAGTATGGAACAGCTCAGATATGGAGCTTGGACACAGGCGAACTCATAGCTGGTCCATTCGAAGCAGGCGAGGGAAGCTTAATGATGTCAGTTCGACTCTCGGAAGACTCTCGGAAGCTGGTGGTGTTGGGAAATTTCGGCGGCAAGTTGTGATGAAAAGGCGTAGCCCGAGGACTAGCGGGCTTTTAATTTGGTTATGACGCGCGCCACCGAGAGTCTCGTTCCTTGTTTTCGACCTTGTTTATTCTACCATCGCAGTCTTGTAATCAGCAATCTATCTTGTTCCCATCTACGGGATCGTCATCAGAGCTATAACAACAGACTTAGGGTGTTGCTGACATTAGGTCGAAAACCCATCTTAAAGCCAGAAACCATTTTATTGGTCGACCCCTATCATGTCGTCTACCACCAACTCACTTGACACCGACCAGAATATGGCCGCTCCTAATAATGGAGATGCACCAGCCTTGTTCCAACTCCTTGCGCAGCTCGTACAAGGACAACAAGATTTCGGACAAGCGGTGACTCAAATTTTGAATCAGCCAGCGCCAGCACCGCGGACACAACCTGCGGCACCTCCCAAGGCATCAGTCGCAGAGCCTGACGCCTATGATGGAAAATACAACACCTTTGATCCTTTTATGAGCCAGCTCTATCTATTGTTCTCTGCCAAACCAGCCGTCTACGTTAACGACCAGATGAAGATTGTCACTGCCTTATCCTTTATGAAGAAAGGCTTTGCAGGAACTTGGGCGACCAACGTTACGAAGCAGTTGAGAGAGGGAACTGTTACATTCACAAGCTGGACGGCATTCGAGAGGAAGTTGAAAGAAGTGTTTGATGATCCGAATAAGAAGCGAGCTGCTCAAGTAAAGCTACATGCGCTGAAGAAGAATCCCAAACAATCTGCCGACGAATATTTCGCAGAGTTCGACCAGCTTGCGACTCTTGCAGGATTCAATGACGAAGCCCTACTTGATGTCTTACAGCAGAACCTTGATAAGCTGACCTTTGACGCGATTGTAGCAGCGCCACAGGTTGACCGAACTCTGGTGGCCTGGAGGGATTATGCGAAGAGGTATGATAGGAACAAGAGGGCCAATGAGAGGAATGAAGGAGAATCTGCAGGTGGGAGAAGGTTTGGTGAAGGACGAGGAGGACCGGGTTGGTTTCGGCCACAAGGAGGTGTAGGACGGGGATCTCCCCATACAGGTACCACTGGAACGAATGGCACCACTATGGATACTGGGGGTCACGCGGGCACAGGCACTGGGGGCACCAATACAGGGGGCTGGCGCACCTTTCCTGGACGAGGGGAACCTATGGATCTTGACCGGCAGCGTGGACGAGCTAACCAGCTCAAATGCTATAACTGTGGAGAGATGGGACACATTGCTCGTGGTTGTCCTAAGCCACGAGGATGGAATACAATGAGGGTAGTTTTCGAGGGACTGACTGAAGAACAAAAGGGAGAAGTAGCGGAGATTTTTAATTTACGAGAGAAGCAGGAGGATTTTTGAAGACGCCGGGAGAGAAGGGTGCTAACTCACCGGCGGATTGTACGATAAGTGCTGAATCAGTCAATGAAACATGTGGTTCGGACTCCCAAGCACCCACTTCTGTAGATCAACCAAAGAGTAAACTACAAAAGAAGAATCAGCGGAGGAAGGAGCGAAAGCAGAATGATAAAAAGGAAGAAACTAGTAAAAGACAGTTGGAGGATGACAAGAAGGCGAAGAAAGGTTCTCTGCTATGGACCATGGAAATGCTTTATTCCGATGATGAAAAGGCATTGAAGACGTTACGTCGTTGGACCAATCGTCAGCGCATCTCAGAGGTTGATATTGACCTCCTACTCCGACTTCGACAGCTCGCGCCAATTCAACAAAGGGAGGTTCTCCAAGAGTTGAAACACACATCGGGGTGAACGATATTTAAAAGAGGTTTATATGTTGTACAAAATGTGAAGACAATATTTAATATTTAAACTAACATAAAGATGGGTGCACGACTTCAAATTTTGGTGGTGTTTTGTGTGTAATCCAAAATATCAAATATTCACAACCATATTCCCACAGACAATATGTCAACAAACATAAGAAATATAGTCAGATTTTTCATGTCTGCTTCAACTTAAAGTTCAATTTCCATGTAAAACTTTGGAGAAAACTTGAAGTTTTACAGATGACATGACATTAAAACTCGATTTAAATGTCAAGCTTTGGCAAAACTTCAAGTTTTCTCCAAAGTTTTATGTAAGAATCAAACTTTAAATTGAAGCAGACATGGAAAATCTGATTATATTTATTATATTTGTTGACATATTGTCTGTGGGAATATGGTTGTGAATATTTGATATTTTGGATGACACACAAAACACCACCAAAATTTGAAGTCGTGCACCCATCTTTATGTTAGTTTAAATATCAAATATTGTTTTCACATTTTGTACAACATATAAACCTCTTTTAAATATTGTTCACCCCGATGTGACATCCAAGAACCTGGATCCGCAAAATTAATCAAAATTCCGTTGTCACGCCGGTTACTATTGGTACCCTTGATGATCAACGCACTTTCCAATTGAACGCTCTTCTGGATTGTGGAGCCACAGGCTGCTATATCGACAAGGGATTTGCACAAGCCAAAGGTCTTAATCTCGAATCACTTCCTTGACCCATTCCAGTTTATAACGCGGATGGCTCACACAACGAAGGAGGTCCAATTCGATCTGTGGTGAAGTTGTGTCTCCAGGTACAAGATCACATCGAGGTCTTTAATTTTGCAGTTACCAACATTGGAAAGATGGACCTTATCATTGGTTTCGATTGGCTTCGGAAGCATAATCCCTCTGTTGACTGGCGCACTGGAGATATCACCTTTAATCGCTGCCCACTTGCTTGCCGTGCTACCTTCGGAGGAGAGATATCACACGAGCCAGAAGATGAGCCTTGTAAAGAGAAGCAGAAAGCGGAACAGTTGGAAGATGGAGACCGCATCTTTGTCACTAAGTTTGAGGTCGAGACGTTGGAAGAATGGCAGTATTGGGAGAAGGCTAGAGGACGTGAAAAGATTAGGGCTGTGGAAACACGCTCTCAGAAGTTGGCAGAGGAGGCACTCAAGAAGGGAACGAAGATGTCGTTGGAAGAATTACTTCCCAAACACCTTGAAGATTTTACGCCGGTGTTTGAGAAAGCCTCATTTGATCGCTTACCTGACCGACGTCAGTGGGATCATGCTATTGAACTCAAACCAGGCATCGAACCTTTCAATAGCAAGATTTACCCGCTAAGTCTTGTTGAGCAAGCTGAACTCGACAAATTCATTGAAGAACATCTGCGCACAGGACGAATTCGACCTTCAAAATCCCCTATTGCTTCCCCATTCTTCTTCGTCAAGAAGAAAGATGGCTCTCTGCGTCCTGTACAGGACTATCGCAAGTTAAACTCAGCCACCATCAAAAATCGGTATCCCCTTCCTCTGATTTCCGAAGTGATCCACAAACTCCGCAACGCGCAATATTTTACCAAGTTCGATGTTCGATGGGGGTATAATAATATCCGCGTCCGTGAGGGAGATGAGTGGAAAGCTGCGTTTACAACCAATCGGGGGCTCTATGAACCACTGGTAATGTTTTTCAGCCTCACAAACTCACCGGCTACCTTTCAGACGATGATGAATGATTTATTCCGAGATCTCATTAGCCGTGGAGTGGTAATTGTTTACATGGACGACATTCTCATCTTTACCGAATCCCTCGAAGAACATCGACGAGTTACACGTGAAGTTCTTCAAATCCTTCGCGACAACCACTTGTATCTGAAGGCCGAGAAGTGTGCCTTTGAACAGACAGAAATTGAATATCTCGGACTCGTTATTCGCCATGGCGAGGTTTCTATGGATCCAGTTAAAGTGAAGGGTGTACAGGAATGGCCTTGGCCCACTATGAAACGCGAACTCCAGCAATTTTTAGGATTTGCCAACTATTATCGCCGTTTTATTCAAGGTTTCGCTCATATCGCTCACCCTCTTCACCGCTTGACTGGTAACGAACAATGGCATTGGGGAATAGACGAAGAAAAGGCATTCCAAGGCCTGAAAACTGCTATCACCACGGCACCCGTACTTATTCTGCCCAAAGACGATGCCCCATTTCGTGTTGAAGCTGATAGTTCTGACTATGCTACGGGAGCAGTACTTTCCCAACTCCAATCTGATAATCATTGGCACCCTGTCGCATTCCTTTCGCGTGCGCTATCTGATGTCGAGCGCAACTACAACATCCATGACAAGGAACTGCTTGCTATTATGCGAGCTCTTGCTGAATGGCGACATTATTTGATGGGTGCGCAACAAACCATTGAAATTCTCACTGACCACAAGAATTTGGAGTACTTTACTTCGGCAAAGAAACTGAACCGTCGTCAAGCACGTTGGGCCTTGGAACTCGCAGAGTATGACTTCCGACTTACCCATAAGCCAGGAAAATCCCATGGGAAGCCTGATGCCCTCTTGAGACGAGCGGACCATGGACGGGGGGAGGAAGATAACGAAGACCGAGTTTTATTGAAAGAGGAATGGTTCCGAGCAGTAACAACGGAGGTAGAGATGGAGGGTGACGAAATCTTGTCGAAGATTTGCGCATCGAAGAGGGTTGAGAGGTTCATAAGAGAGGCAATAAAGAAAGGCGAGAGAGGCTGGAAGGAGGAGAACGGATTGAGGTTGTGGAAGAATCATATTTATGTGCCGAATGAACAATCCCTCCGAGATCAGATCATCCACTCTCACCATGACCTACCTGTGTCTGGTCATCCAGGACGCTACAAAACGGCAGAGTTAATCTTGCGGACATATTGGTGGCCACGAGTCCATGCGGATGTAACGCGTTATGTGAGTGGCTGCGAGAAATGTCAGCGCACTAAGACCTTTCCCGCAAAGCCATTCAGACTACTCGCGCCTAATCCAGTACCAGAGCATAACTGGCAATTTGTATCAGTGGATCTCATAACTCAACTTCCCCAGAGTAAGGGAAGTGACGCCATTCTCGTTGTTGTGGACCGACTGTCCAAGATGATACGTCTCGCGCCGACAAATGGAGAGTTGACTTCCGAAGGTCTTGCACGTTTGTACCGAGATCGAGTATGGCAGGATTTCGGTATTCCTGAACGCGTCATCAGTGATCGTGGCTCTCAGTTCGTGTCTAGCTTTATGCACGACCTCAATCAGTTGCTTGGGATCCAAACCAATCTATCCACAGCATATCATCCACAAACAGATGGTCAGACCAAACGGATAAACCAAGAAATCGAGCAATATCTTCGTTTATTCACCAATTACCGTCAGAACGACTGGGCAGAGTGGTTACCCCTCGCTCAATTTAACTATAATGACAAGGTGCAAACCTCCACTGGATATTCCCCCTTCTTCCTAAACTACGGCCGTCATCCTCGCAAAGGAATTGAACCCCGTTCTAACGTGAGGGCGGAAAGCGCTGACGTCTTCGCCTCGCGAATGCATCATCTTGCGCAGGAAGCCACTAGCGCCTTGACAAAAGCGGCGAGTGACATGAAACGTTATTATGATGAACACCGTCACAAGGCTCCTGAATACCAACCGGGAAATTTAGTTTACTTGGAGGCCACCAACCTTAAATCTGACCGCCCTTCAAAGAAGCTCGATGATCGTCGTTTTGGTCCTTTCAAAATCATTCAGAAGGTTGGAGAGCGAGCCTACAAATTGGATTTACCTCGCACTTGGAAGCGAATCCATCCGGTGTTCCACACTGTTCTTCTTCGTCCCTACACACCACCAACCTCCCCATTGCAGCAATCGCCGCCGCCGCCACCACCAGTAGATCTCGGAGGAACCCCGGAATATGAAGTTGAGGGTATATTGGATAGTCGAGAGAGACGTGGAAAAAGGGAATATTTGGTGAAATGGAGAGGACAACCAAGAGAAGAGAATACTTGGGAACCAGAGCAGAATTTGAAGAATGAGTATGGCACCAACGAGGCATTCAAAACCTTCCTGGCACGTGAACGAGAACGCCTCAAAATTCGTATACCACCTCGAGGAGAATGGAGATATGCGATACCAAATCGAGGAGTGTATGATTGGAGGATAGGGACATTTAGAGAGATCGTCGATGAAGACATCGACCTTGGGAGAGGGTAATGTGATGAAAAGGCGTAGCCCGAGGACTAGCGGGCTTTTAATTTGGTTATGACGCGCGCCACCGAGAGTCTCGTTCCTTGTTTTCGACCTTGTTTATTCTACCATCGCAGTCTTGTAATCAGCAATCTATCTTGTTCCCATCTACGGGATCGTCATCAGAGCTATAACAACAGACTTAGGGTGTTGCTGACACAAGTATGCCATCACTCCACGATGACTCAGCTGCCGTGCGGTTTCCAGGTTGCATTCCTCCTTGGTTTATTTTCTAGCTACTTGTGCGCACTGCGCATTATTTATCACATTCCATATTTCATCAAGTACTTTTCCTGCACAAAGTAACACGCAGCTGGGACGTAACTTAACCCTAGGTGAAGGAAATTTCGGTGATTGCTCATTCTGACATTCAAGTTTGACCCCTATAAAGAGAAAGAGAACATGGCCAATATCATTCGTTCTCCAAAGTCATGCGGCAAATGGGATAACAATGAATTGATAGCATACAACATAATCGTCACTGCTGTACCATCACAGCAATTCTTTTCCCAGGGGACAGATGTGCCTCTAACTGCGGCAGGCCTTGATCCCGCACTCGCCACCGCCGACTTGTACAGCGCCGATGTCTCGGACAGCACGCACTGTTTTCTCCAATATCTTCAGGCTTCCACCACGCCGTTCATTGATGATCGGAACATTCGTGTGCCGAAAATTACCGACTTCGCTCGTCAGCTTCTCATTACTGTTGGCTTCGAAGAACATCGGTATTGCGTGTGTCGATTGGAGATCCCATTGTTGATCTGTGATGACATCCGCAAATTCGCGGAGATAAGCTTGGGCTTGCAGGACCTTGGTTCAACAGAGATGGTACCTCTTCTACAAATGAACAAGACGCAGATAGATCGCTCAAATATCGAAGCACACATGATTTCAGCAGCCATTGCGGCCTACCAGTTCAACAATAACAAGCGGCAAGAGAAGGGCCTGCATCCACTTGATGCCATGACCATACCTTGCGTCACGATGGTTGGGACGCGCCCCACCTTCTACTTGGTGCCCGTCACCAAAGCGTTGAGCGATGCAGTCATTTCCTGTCAATATCCGTCCGCTAGGACTGAGGTGTTGAAATGCGAGGTCGCTAGTGACTGCAAAGGTGGCATGGAGGCACCGGAATACAGGCTCGTCGCCTTGCAGTATTATGTTGCATTCAAATCCCTTGCGAAAAGCCACTGGGAGAAGTTTATTCCTTAAAACTTAAATCACTTATAAGTATACGACGTATACGACTTGTAACATTATTTGAATATCGAAACAGAGCCAAAAACTGCTTTTCAGTAACGATGGTCTCAGATTTGAGATGATAAAATTTGCAGTTGATCCAAAGTCTGTCATGATCTGTAAGTTGCACGTGCGCACAATGTGCCATAGTATACCGCATAAAGACCGAGTCCAACTTAGCCGCAACCCATCACCATCATGTTGGTAAGTAAGGGAGACTAGTCGCTGTTCACTTGACTGGGAGCGCTCACAAGCACTCTCGGCGTCAACGCTCGCAAGCACGTGTCCCATCATCATGTTAGTAGCCTGACTTGCTGTGTACCACCACTCTGCTCTGTCTGCGCACCTCAAACCCTTCCCAAATTCGCTAGCTTTACTTGGGATCTAATATAAGTATAACCTATTCATGTCACAAGCATCAGGCACCGACGACGCCGAGGATCAGCTTAGTTACAACGCTGAGCAGCCTCCCCTGCAAATTGACGCCGAAGGATTCATCGAAGAGTTAGTTGCAGCTTCCTAGAATCTGTTACCCGTCTGACAGCAGGACAGGGAGGAGATATATTTTCCTTTGGCGAAGCTGCCACCAGGGATGTAAGGATCTATCTTCCCTAATGGGCGTCTGCGCCGCTCCTCACCAGAACTGCAGCTCGAATGCTGGGCCTTCACAGCCGTCAGGACCTCACGTACAAGGAAGCACACCCAATGTTCCACCAGTCGGCGATTTAGCTCCGTGAGTTATTGCCGATAATGATTTCAAACATACTCCTGAATTGTCTCAGCGAGGGGGGAAAGGTCGTGGCGGACAAGGACCAGCCAACTCTAAGCGAATTGTAAGCGGAAAATGAGTCAAGCGATCGCAACTGACGACACTGTACACTCAGAGCAAATGTCATGAAGCAGGTATTGGACATTCTCCAGGACTCCACGATTGCGTCGAAGATCGGAAAGGACAAACGGTCTCGTTTCTGGGGGGTGTACAAACGAGTCGCAGAGGAACACGACGGCGAGTTCCTTGAGCGATACACCACTGACATGGACATTGTCTTGATCTTCGTAAGTTTAGCTTTCTTATCTTCGGCGCACTGAGACTGATGTTTGATCAGTCTGGTCTTTTCTCGGCTGTCAGCACGGGTTTCATCGTCGCGATGGAGTCCAATCTCAATCACGACCCCAGCGACACGACGAATGCCCTTTTGAAGCAAATCGTGCAGATCGGACTCGGCAACCTCGCTGAGGCGGGCACCGCTCCCGTAGACCCAGGATCTACGTGGTCGCCATCCGCGTTGGCTGTGAGGATCCAGTTGGTCGCATACGCAAGCTTGTCCATGAGCTTGCTCGCTGCATTCGGGGCCGTGCTGGGCAAGCAGTGGCTCGGGTACTACAAGTCGAACAGATATGGCCGCGGCTCGGAGGAGGAACGAGGCAAGCGCAGGCAAGAGAAGTTCGACGGCATTGTCACATGGTATTTCGACGCTGTCGTGCAATGTTTTCCTGTCATACTTCAGATCTCCCTTCTTCTTTTTGGAATCGCTCTCGGAGCCAATATGTGGTACGAGCAGCGGAGCATCGCCTGGGTCATCATCGCAACGACGGTCTTCGGATTTCTATTCTATTCCCTGACGGTGATGGCATGTTTAATGTCTCCTGCTTGTCCATTCCAGACACCAACATCGACGATGTTACGCATGTTGCACATCGACAGTAAGATCAATTTTAACAAATTCTAGTGGTCGTTCCCCGTCTGAACAAATATGCCAGGGGTTCTACGCCTGGTATTCAAACGAGCCTTTAGTTATTCCCGGCAGCTCACGAAGTCGCTGCACGGTGAGTGATGTCTTCTTCCATGTGGACAGGTTTTGACTGTTCCATGTCAGGCGTGCTGGCACGATTGCTTGACATTGTCAGACCAGGATGGAACCGATTGTCTCAAGTATCTAGAGGTGACGATCTTATCTACTATCACAAAGAGACTCAGTGCTCATTGCACTCCTCAGGCCCTGTACGTGCGATTGGCGCATTCGCACAGCGATCTCTCCGGCAGTCAATCACTGGTCTTCATAACTGGCTGCATTTTTTCCTGCGCTTTTCCACAAAGGTCGTGGACTCGGAAGCACAATTGCTTGGACCGAATTTAGATGTTTCGTCGGGCAATGACCACATTCTCGCCCTCCCCGACACACCTACCAGCAATCTGGAAGCACCTAGCGTCAAGTGGCTGCTCGAGACCTCTACGGATCCTGAAGTATTTCTTGCCGCTGCCAGCCTTGTTCCGCAGGTCGAATGGCCCCTAGATCTTGACGTCTCAGATATGCTGCATCAGCTATATGATATTCATACGAGCTGCGTCGGCTTCCATGGGCACATTATGCCGTCGTTGGAGGAAAAGGCCTCAGCTTGTATAATGGCTATGAGTCATTTATATTGTGGCCGCGTTCTCCAGGCACATCCTGCCCGTGGCGAATTCCTTGGTTGCAGAAAAAGAGATTATGACACATTTAGTCAGATGATTGAGAGGGTCAGAAATCTCGCCGACACGACAGTGCTTACTGCGACTATGAATCTTTGTCTTCCGCCAGATGACAATGACAGTTTCCCGTGGGATCTGTATGATTCTCCCCGCTCTGTGGCGGAGTGGCTGTCACATTCTCTTCCTTACCACTTTGTCGTTGGGCGAGTGAATGAAAATGTGCAACAACTCGCCACAGATGTGATATCACAACTGCTATCATCTCCATCCTCTCCGTCGAATCAGATCATAGCCAATTGCGCTCTTCTTGGTTGCGTCATGGTCGGGGTTCAGTTTGACAAGAAGGACATAGTTCGGATTGATAAAAGGTGCCATCAACTCATTTGGTACTTTTGATATGGCTAACGAAGATATCGTAGTTTTGCCCTGTCTCGATTTCCGAATGCCCTTTTGGAGCAGTTTCAGATCACTTTCTGGACACGTTATGGAGGTGATCTCAGTGACGCTAGTACAGGCATAACATATCAGGACTACAACCTCATCAAAGCCATTTGTCTCGTGCTCGAGTCTGCCAAAAATTACTATCATCCTTCATTGCACGCCATGCGGAACCTGGACGTGTGCAGGAAGATTTACTCACAAATGAGGTCATCCCGGGCCGAAAAAAATCCTTCCCGGGGGCTGTTGGTTGCCCTGCAAAATGCACTGCAAAATGCACTGCGCTTCACGCTCACTGCTGCCAAAGTATCTCGAGACCCTGTCAACTTGTGGGATTACCACCATTTAGTGACAGGTGATTCCCACTCGCCAGAAGACTTCGACTGGCTGGTCGACTACCTCGACGAGTGCATTGATTTAGACGGCATTTGTTCCGACGACGAGGTAGTATTTGACATTCTTTTGCTCCTGTTTGCCATAAAAGTACGCTGCAGCCCTACGAGACGGCATCAGTTCTTCAATAGCCTCATCACTTGCATGGATAGTCTTTACATGCCTGTCCATTTACGTCATGTTGCTCTTCGCCTTGCCCACAGTGCCCGAGAAGAAATCGTCTCGATCGATGTCGTCGATAATGCGGAGCTGCGGGACATGATCTTGACCGAGTTCTCCCCTGCTATCCTGACTGCAATTTCTCCGCAACCAAATGCAACACTCTCTAATGATGGGCCTGGCCGCTTCTTCCCTGATAAGAGCGACTTGTGCTATCTCGAACTGCTCTTTGCCCTTGCGAGGAATTCCAACTGGCACCCCCATTTGGTTGAGGATCACCATATAGATCGATGCATTAGCATCGCTGCAAAACACTACTTCGTGCAACATGCACATGCATTTTACCTAGCTGGCATCCTCTTCCGGATCGCACCTAAACAGTCGTCGGCTATATCCCTCGATTCTATCACAGAGCACCAGTGGTGGAACATGATGAGAAATGCATGGTTCTATGCTAGATTTCACACCGACGACATACACTGTTTCGAGTTCCTTCCCGTCCTTGCGGAAGGCATGAAGAGGTATATGCACATTGCTCGGGAACTCGATCTCAAGTTCCTCATCGGAAATGTGGATCGTGTTCTTAATGCACTAGAGACGCGAGATTCACAGCAGGGAGAGGGTGAGAGTGTCACCGTTGCTGTGAAAGAGTTGAGGACTGCTGTCAGCGATATGCTTGAGAAGTTGGTCAGCAGTCAAGGAGTTGTTGGTCCCTGAGCATTACAGTATTTGCGTGTTGTGCTAGCGTTCTGGGACCAGAGGAAGGGAGCGATAAAACTGCGAGGGGATAAGTATCGCGACTGAAACAGTATTGATATTCAATATATATATGCATCGTAGTCGAGTTTGTATCACCAAGTCCATGGTTTCTGTCTCATCTGAGGCTAAGTATGATCTACATTGACGAAAAGAGCTTCTCAGGATTGATGAGGGAGAGGATGGGACCCATGCGGCACTAACTTGTTTTTAGTTCAATACAAGTATTTGATGAGTGTATATATGCTCACCGATTTTAGCCTGAACAGTCATGGTATATGATATTTTTATGTCTGCATCGAGACCCCTTGGAGTCAATCTCATACCCACATCACGAATCTTCGCGGTGCAGTTCATGGTTGCCTAGACTTAGCTCGTCAAGTTTAGATTCCGGAGAGGTTCTACTGCAACATCGTTGTGGACTGGCTTTTCGGGGGAGCTTTCATCGGTGTTCTGGGAGGACGCGTCGTACAATGGTTCCCGAGCCAGTGGTTGCGGACATTGTTGACGTTGAGTTGAAGCTTGAGCTGGTGCTGGTATTACGTTCCGCCCTCGTCCAGGAATTCTCCAGAGGGCGTCCGAGAAGCTGTTGATGCGATTCAGATGAAGGAATGTAACACATACGAGTCGCATGATAGGCTTGACCCTGCAGAAGTATATATCTTCCGAGAAATCCTGTCTGCCTATGTTCAGTTGATACACAAGGGATGCAACTTTGGAGAGGACTTCTAAGACGTTAGAAGCTCTTTCGAATGATGGAAATAACACGCTACCGGTGGCGGGTGCGATCTGTGAGAGGACCGAGGTGAGGCCTGCATCTGAGACCCGGATTAAATCTAGAAAGGGTAGTCAGAATAATAAAATAGGTAGATAAATGAAGCGTACCGCATGCTAGCAGTATGGTAGCATATATGGACGCTATTGGGTGAACGTTTTCGACGCGCGTTTCCATACAGTGTCAGCTGACAGGCATCCTCCATGCACAAAGTTCGATCCTCTGACTCTCGATAAATGCGATGTGAATATAGGCTTCCAAGAAGTTGTATGTGGGATTGGAGTAGGACTTGCTATTTCAAAGCTGGTCGAGGCCCTTCAAGTTTGCATGTAGAATGGAATTGGTAAAGTAAAAGCTATTCAGACCTGAGGGCCGAAAGAGCGAGGGACTTGTGGGGCACGGTCAGTATTTGGAAGAAGAGTGTGTACGGGGTTCTGCAAGCCGTGCATAGCGGTGTCATCTGAGAAAATATTGGCGAGCTTGGCAGGGATTTGTAGAAAGCCGAGTCAGGAAGTAAGGAGCGGGAAGTAAGGAACGCATCAATATTATCAATTGGTGATAAGAAAGACACAACATTCCAAATTCTTGGTATTGCAGTAGTTTTTTTGATACAAGGCAGGTGATATTATCTACTGTCCAGTAGGCCCAGTAGCTCTGACAAATGCAAGTTATGTAACGCTGCAGCTGACAAGTCTTCTCGGACTCGGGAAATTCCTGTTTATCGTTACTCGCTACGCGTTATCTCAAATCCATCATCGATGCCATCTCTATGTATCGTCCAATTCTAACACAAGCGGTGAGGCCTTGAGTTTATATAAGGCCCAAGGCTTGGCACGGACGCAACTTGAACGAGAGACAAACACTGATTAGTACATGGACTGGTGGCAAACATCTGGGTTTGTTTTGTGGTACTACTAGTCACTGGTGGTGCCGCCGACCGGCCGCGTATATCGATTGCGTCATCACAGCTCGTATCTCTCTTAGTCACTCCAGTAAGCCAACTTGAGACTGAGGTATATAAAGCAATTTCTTTATCGTGAGTTCCACTATCACCAACTTAGCTATATCTAACATCATGGCCCAATATCCTACACGCAAAATTGGCACCGACGATGTCTCTGCCATTGGCTTTGGTGCCATGGGCATGGGAGCGTATTACGGTCAGACTGGTACAGATGAGGAGCGCTTAAAGGTGAGGCGTGAGCACCCTGCAGCCTGTACGCTACATTAATTCATAACTGTTCCTTTTAGGTTCTGGATAAAGCGTATGAGCTCGGTTGTACTTTCTGGGACACTGCCGATATCTATGGAGACAGCGAAGAGCTCATTGGCAAATGGTACGTCATACTGTACTGTCACAGTAATAGGCCCTTACAATCCAGGAGCGCAGGTTCAAGCTGAACCCCGAAAAGCGCAGCAAAATCTTTATTGCTACCAAATTCGGTATCATCATCAGTGGATCTGACGGTAGAGGCGTTGATGGGTCTCCAAAATATGTCCACGAGTCATTTGCGAAATCACAAAGGTTGCTTGGTGTCGACAAGATCGATCTTTACTACTTGCACAGGTGCGCTTAGCGTGTTAACAGGTCACTCAAACTTCATTATCATCATCATCATGCAGACCTGATCACCAAACACCAATCGAAGTACGTCTCTGTATGTGAACGCTCTGAATTTTTCTGAAATCAGTTAGGAAACTGTCGGCGCCATGGCAGAACTTGTCAAGTAAGCGAACAGTTTCTAAATCCTTATTCATGCTCATCGCTGGGAAGACAGGGGAAAGTGAAATATCTCGGGCTGTCAGAATGCACTGCGGATACCTTGCGCCGTGCTCAGAAAGTGCACCCTATCGCTGCCGTCCAAGTGGAGTATTCGCCGTTCACACTCGACATTGAGGACTCAAAGCTCAACATCTTAAATACGGCTCGCGAACTTGGAATCAAAATCATCGCCTACTCGCCTCTTGGGCGTGGTTTGATCACGGGACAGTATGTAAGTATCGCAGACCAGTAAAACTGATTGGACACTCACCGGATGAAAAGAAATCTCCAGATGACTTTGAAGCTAATGATTTCAGGAGGATGATTCCCAGGTATGTGTTATGTCAGTGCCTGGTAGGGGCTCACGCGAACTGTACTTGCTTAGATACTCAAAGGAAAACTTCCCGAACATCTTAAAACTGGCAGACGACCTCAAGAAAGTAGGCGAGCAATATAATGCTACCGCTGGACAGGTCGCGTTGGCGTGGCTTCTTGCCCAAGGTGAAGACGTCATCCCCATCCCGGGTACAAAGAAGGTCAAGGTCAGTAGCCATATAGCCTCGGGTATTCATGGTTTTGACTTGCACAGTATCTCGAGGAGAACCTCGGTGCTATCAACGTGTCGTTGAGTCCTGAATCAGTCCAGGAAGTACGTGTTATTGCAGAGAAGGCTGATTGGGTGGTTGGGGATCGCTATCCTCCAGCGGCCATGAAGTCGCTGTATGCAGAGACCCCACTTCCGAAGAGCACCTGAACTGCACTTCACTTGAACTCGAGCCCCATGGACTTATTTTCAATGATTACAATTGTACTTGTACCGCACATGAGGCAATGTCAGATGCATGTTTCTGTCGACCGATGATGAACAGTAGTGCTGAACCATAAGTTTGTGCGCATTCGAACGTCCTACCGTGACTTTCCTATATACAAGGACAGTCCTTCGGTTAGCTCTTGGACGATGTTACAGTAGCAACGCATACAATATTAGCATATTCCATAGTGTCTTCCTGTTCCCATTCTCGAAAATGTTGTGTACAATCGACTGAGTGAAGAAATCAGTCCGAAGGTCGAGAGCATGATTAACGTTGGCGTCAAACCTCGACGTGTGGTTGCATATGCGGGTCACAGAGGAAACTCTGCTCACTTCACTGTCCACGACGAACGGTTTGGATGGAATGCGGGGGATGCAGTACTTTCAAATGTATTCAGGAGTTGGACTTTGAGGAAGCGACGATGCAGCGCAATGACACGCGCATGGTCGTTTCTGACCAACTCCCATTTCTACCGAGAAGTTGGATGTATTGACATTGAAAGGTAGTCGGGGGTGTGTTCTGGTGCGTTCAATGGAGTCTGTCAGCTTCTTTCACAGCATGGCGAAGAGCATTCCTTGAACAGTACTGACAGAAGATGCACGTCCAGATAGCATGACGTGGTTCTTCTGTACTATAACAAGCCCCCCTAGAACATGTGCATACGTGATGAATTGTTCCGTTGCCAATTTTGCATGCTCTGTTGTCCCCAGTCGTACAGGTGTCTAGAAGCCTAATATCATGCGTGGTTTGTCAGCTTGACCGATGACGTCTACAGCCTATGTAACAAATAAGGATACCCCACAGGCAACATGAAAGGGGAAAATTATGTATTTACCTGACCGACGCGAACCGTCACAGGCTTGCTCTCGGGGTTCTCATCGAGTGTGATGAGGAAGCAAGGGCACATGACAATCACCAAAGTAAAACATCCAATGGTACTTGTCGAGCACGGCTATATGCGCTCATCAGGATCCGCTTCCATGAATCAGAGCGAGGGGACTCACAGGTTTCCGTAAGCGCCATGATCGTCGCCAGTAAACCCGCAACAGCCGGTCGACTCATGATGTCCCTGTCCGAGAAGAAAGGATTGATCCCAATCGTGCCCTTGCCCATGTGATACGAATCCCAGTGCGAGCGCGCTGAGTGCAGTGATCTCCATCGACGTGCTATCGTCTACGACCGCAGGGAGGACAGTGAGCAAGTCCTCGCGGTGCAAGCCTGCGTATGCTACACCGAGCCCCATGATTGCCGCTAAGATGCAGAAAGAAGGCGATAGCGGAGAGTTCCTCGAGGTTCAGTATCGGAGTAGGTCATAGCGAAATCAGAGAGAATAACGGCGAATAGACTGAGCAAGATGATAAGCCCGTGTTACATAGAAAGGCTTTCCTCGCACCTTGTTTTCGAATGCGGGCCATGTCTCGAACAGCCCCTGCAGGCCGGAATAATGTGGGTGTAGAAACTTGAGTGGCTTTGGAAATGGAAGTCATGGACGATGTGCATTTTCTCATGAGTGTCCGGAACGTTTCAAGAGCAGGGCGGTAGAAATACGTGTTTAATTCCTGCTACGAATTCAATTATTTATTCTACCTCGATCGTGAGTGGTACGCACCTTTAACCATTCCATGAGCATCTCCAGCTCGGATTTGAGCTGTGGATATTTTTCCGACTAGGAAACATAAGTCAAGCTAATGTTGATTTCGCTAATGTGATTAACACTCACTAGTTTGGGTCGCTATCCTTTTCAACATTCAATTTGATGTCTGGCTTCTTGTCCTCTTCTTTGGATCCTGCGAGGGAACTGCAATACCTGCTGCCGGTCATTCTGCCATAGCTCGAGGATGTCTCTAAGATGGTAAAGCTAGAACAGTTAAGTGCTTGGCAGCCAACAAGTCTTGACGCGCGTTGGGGACGTGATGGCCTTGTGCTTGGTCGAGTTGTAAGTTATTCTGACGTATGCTTTCTGTTTGGTGTCGCACTTCCTTTTTCAAGAGTGTGGGCATCAGATTCAATGTACACCAAAATGTGAACTCGTCACTGGTTCTTCGAACCTAGTATAATTGGGCATCGGAGTTGCAAAACGCCTCATAGCTCACGCACACGCAACAACACATCTGTCCTCTACCTTGGATTTAGGACATTCCAACTAGATTCATAAAGTACTGTACGTAACCGCACTTCTGCAGTCGTCCTTCAGAGAAGGGCACATTCCATGATGACTCAGCTGCCGCCCTCTGTTCTGTTGTATTTTCTAAGCTGGTGCATCCGCGCATTTATCACATTGCACACCTTATGATAGTCCTCCACAATGCAACGCGCAGCTGCAATATCTAGGTGAAAGAAATTTTCATTGATTGGTCATTCTTATTTCTCTGACACTCAAGTTTGACCTCTATAGAGAGAAAGAGAACATGGCCAATATTATTCGCTCTGCAAAGTCAAGCAGCGACTGGGATGTCAATGACTCCTAATCGCATACAACATAACCGTCACTGCTGTACCATCACAGCAGTTCTTTCCCCAGGAAATAGATGTACCTCTGACCGCGGCAGGCCTTGATCCCGTGCGCGCCACCGCCGACTCGGACGTGCGCCCTGACGCCGATGTCTCTCGTGCAACACGGCTCGTTTTCTCCGGTATCTTCGGGATGCTACCACACCGTATTTTGATGTTTAGAACGTTCGTGTGCCGAGCATTGACGACTTCGCTCGTCAGATTCTCATTACAGTTGGCTTCACAAGGGGTCCGTATTGCGTGTTAAGACGACGCTCGATCCCATTGTTAATCTGTGATTATAACCGCAAAGTTGCGCAGATAAGCTTATGCTTGCGGGATATGAATCAAACATGCTACTTCTTCTACAAATGGACAAGACGCAGATAGGTTGCTCAAATGTCGAAGCATGTATGATTCCAGGAGCCATTGCGGCCTACCAGCTCAACAATAACAAGCGACAGGAGAGGGGCCTGCATCCACTTGATGCCATGACCATGCCTTGCATCACCATGATTGGGACGCGCCCTACCTTCTACTTGGTGCCCGTTACCAAAGCGTTGAGCGATGCAGTCATTTCCTGTCAATATCCGTCAGCTAGGACTGAGGTGTTGAAATGCGAGGTCGCTGGTGACCACAATGGAGGCATAGAGGCACCGGAACACAGGGGCATGGCCTTACAGTATTATGTTGCATTCAAATCCCTTGCGAAAAGCCACTGGGAGAAGTTTCTTCGTTAAAGTCTGAATCACTTATAAACACACGACGTGTACGACTTGTAATATTATTCGAATATCGAAACAGAATCTAAAGTCGCGCCTGAGAAAACTTGTATAATCTGACCTCAAGTTGCACGCGCGCACGACCGTGACAAACATTATAACAGACCGGGCCTCATCATAATGGTGAGGGTAGATTCGCAGTACACTGGACTGGGGGCACTCACAAGGCATGAACACTCTCGGCGTCAACACCTGCAAGCACGTGTTCGTCATGGTCGTAGGCGCCTAACCGACTTGCTGTGTACCACCATTCTGCTCTGTCTGCTCACCTCAGACCCTTCCCAACTTCGCTAGCTTTACTTGGGATCTAATATAGGTATAACTTCTTCATGTCACAAGCATCAGGCACCGACGTCGTCGAAGATCAACTCACTCACAACGATGAACCTCCCCCGCAAATTGACGCTGTAGGACCCATCGAAGAGTGAGTTGCAGCTTCCTGGAATGTCACCCGTCTAACAGTAAGATAGGGAGACGATAAATATTGAACCTTTGGCGGAGCTGCCACCAGGGATGTAAGTTCTCTCTTCCCTGATGGGCGTCTGTACCACTTCTTACCAGAACTGCAGCTCGAATGCTGAACCTTCACAGCCGTCAGGGCCTCACATACAAGGAAGCACACCCAATGTTCCACCAGTCGGCGATTCAGCTTCGTGAGTTCTTGTCGATAATGACGTCAAACATGCTCCTGAATTGTCTCAGCGAGAGGGAAAAGGTCGAATTGTGAGCGAAAAATGAGTCAAGCGATCGCAACTGACGACACTGTACACTCAGAGCAAATGTCATGAAGCAAGTATTGGACATTCTCCAGGACTCCACGATTGCGTCGAAGATCGGAAAGGACAAACGGTCTCGTTTCTGGGGGGTGTACAAACGAGTCGCAGAGGAGCACGACGGCGAGTTCCTTGAGCGATACACTACTGACATGGACATCGTCTTGATCTTCGTAAGTTTAACGTTCTTATTTTCGGCGCATTGAGAGTCGAGACTGATGTTTGATCAGTCCGGTCTTTTCTCGGCTGTCAGCACGGGTTTCATCGTCGCTATGGAGTCCAATCTCAATCCCGACCCCAGCGACACGACGAATGCCCTTTTGAAGCAAATCGTGCAGATCGGACTCGGCAACCTCGCTGAGGCAGGCACCGCTCCCGTAGACCCAGGATCTACGTGGTCGCCATCCGCGTTGGCTGTGAGGATCCAAATGGTCGCATACGCAAGCTTGTCCATGAGCTTGCTCGCTGCATTCGGGGCCGTACTGGGCAAGCAGTGGCTCGGGTACTACAAGTCGAACAGATATGGCCGCGGCTCGGAGGAGGAACGAGGCAAGCGCAGGCAAGAGAAGTTCGACGGCATCGTCACATGGTATTTCGACGCTGTCGTGCAATGTTTTCCTGTCATACTTCAGATCTCCCTTCTTCTTTTTGGAATCGCTCTCGGAGCCAATATGTGGTACGAGCAGCGGAGCATCGCCTGGGTGATCATCGCAACGACGGTCTTCGGATTTCTATTCTATTCCCTGACGGTGATGGCATGTTTGATATCTCCTGCTTGTCCATTCCAGACACCAACATCGACGATGTTGCGCATGTTGCGTATCGACAGTAAGATCATTTTGCTGAATTCTGGTGGTCATCCCCCGTCTGAATCAACATGGCAGAGGTTCTACGCCTGATGTACAAACGAGCCTCAATTTATTCCCAGCAGCTCACGAAGTCGCTACACGGTGAGTTATGTCTCCTTCCATGTGGACAGGTTTTGACTGTTCCATGTCAGGCGTGCTGGAACGATTGCTTGACATTGTCAGGTCAGGATGGACCCGATTGTCTGAGGTATCTAGAGGTGACGATCTGGCCTACTATCACAAAGATACTCAGTGCTCATTTCACTCTCTAGGCCCTGTACATGCGATCGGCACATCTGCACGACGATCTCTTTAGCACTTAACCACCAGTTTTCATAACTGGCTGCGGTTTGTTCCGCACTTTTCCACAAAGGTCGCGGACTCGGAAGCACAATTGCTTGCACCGAGCCTCGATGCTTCTTGGGAGAATGAATACGCCCTCACCCTCCCTGACATACCTACCAGCAATCTGGAAGCACCTAGCGTCAAGTGGTTGCTCGAGACCTCTACGGATCCTGAAGTATTTCTTGCCGCTGCCAGCCTTGTTCCGCAGGTCGAATGGCCCCTAGATCTTGACGTCTCAGATATGCTGCATCAGCTGTATGATATTCATACGAGCTGCGTCGGCTTCGATGGGCAAATTATGTCGTCGTTGGAGGAAAAGGCCTCAGCTTGTTTACTGGCTATGAGTCATTTATATTGTGGCCGCGTTCTCCAGGCACATCCTACCCGTGGCGAATTTCTTGGTTGCAGCAAAAGAGATTATGACACGTTTAGTCAGATGACTATGAGGGACATGGATAAAGTCGACAGGACGGTGCTTGCCACGACTCAGAATCTTTGTTTTCCGCAAGATGAAGATCGCAGACTTCTGTGGTTTTCGTTGTATGATTGTCCCGGCCCTGTGGCAGAGTGGCTGTCACATTCTCTTCCTTACCACTTTGTCACTGGGCGAGCGAATGAAGATGTGGAAATATTCGCCATAGAGGTGATATCAAAACTGCTATCATCTCCATCCTTTCCATCGAATCAAATCCTAGCCAATTGCGCTCTTCTTGCTTGCGTCATGGTCGGGGTTCAGTTTGACAAGAAGGACATAGTTCGGATTGATAAAAGGTGACATCGACGCATTTGGTGCTTCTGCTATAGCTAACGCAGATATTGTGTAGTTCTGCCCTGCCTCGATTTGCGAATGCCCTTGTGGAGCAATTCCAAACTACTCTCTGGGCATGGTATGGAGGTGATCTCAGCGATGACAACACAGGCGTCGCACCGAGTTGGGCAGGCGACTTCATCAAAATCATTTGTCTGGCGCTCGAGTCTGCCAAAAAATACTATTATCCTTTATTCCCCGCCATGCGGAACCTAGACGTGTGCAGGAAGATTTACTCACGAGTGAGATCATCCGAACAAAATCCTTCCTGGGAATTGTTGGGTGCTCTGCACAATGCACTGCGCTTCACGCTCGCCGCTGCCAAAGTATCTCGGGACCCTGCCGACTTGTGGAATAGCCAATATCTTTGGATAGGTGATTCCCATTCGCCAGAAGACTTTGAGTGGCTGGTCGACTGCCTCGAGTACATTGATCCCGACGACCAGGAAGCAGTATTCGACATCCTTTTACTCCTGGTTGTCATAGAAGTACGCTGCAGCCCTGCTAAACCGCATCAGTTCTTCAAAAGCATCATCGCCTGCATGGGTAGTCACATGCCTGCCCACTTGCGTCATGCTGCTCTTCGCCTTGCCCACAGTGCCCGAGAGGAAATAGTCTCGATCGACGTCATTGATAATGCGGAGCTGCGGGACATGATCTTGACCGAGTTCTCCCCCGCTATCCTGACTTCAGTTTGTCCCCAACCAGGTGTAAAACTCTCCGACGATGATCCTGACTGCTTCTTCCATTATGCCCGTGACTTGTGCTATCTCGAACTGCTCTTTGCCCTTGCGAGGAATTCCAACTGGCACCCCCATTTGTTTGAGGATCACCATATAGATCGATGTATTAGCATCGTTGCAAACTGCTACGGGCAACGTGCATTTTACCTAGCTGGCATCCTCCTCCGAATCGCACCTGAACAGTCGTCGGTTACATCCCTCAATTCTATTACAGGGCAGCAGTGGTGGGACATGATCAGCGATGCATGGCTCCATGCCAGCTTTACAACCGACGACATACACTGTTTCGAGTTCCTTCCCGTCCTTGTGGAAGGCACGAAGAGGTATATGCACATTGCTCAGGATTTTGAGTTGAAGTCCTTCATTGAAAATTTGGATCGTCTTCTTAACGCACTAGAGACGCGAGATTCACAGCAGGGAGAGGGTCTCGTTGTTGCTGTGAAAGAGTTAAGGACTGCTGTCAGCGATATGCTTGAGAAGTTGGTCAGCAGCCAAGGAGTTGTTGGTCCCTGATTATCACAGAACAAGGGATGCAGCGATACAACTGGGAGGGGATAAGTATCGCGACTGAAACAATATTATATATATGTGCATCGTAGTCAAGATTGTATCACAAAGTCCATGGTTTTCATCTCATCTAAGACCAAGTATGATCTACATTGACGAAAAGAGCTTCTCAGGATTGACGGGGGAGAGGATGAGACCCATGCGGCACTAGCTTGTTCTTAGCCCAACACGGGTATTTGATGGGCGTATATATGCTCACCGATTTTAGCCTCAACAGCCATGTTCTTTGTGTCTGCCTCGAGACGCCTTGGAGCCAATCCCGCGCCTAATTTCGCATATCTTCGCGATGCAGTTCGTGGGTGCCTAGGCTTATCTCGTCAAGTTTAGATTCTGGAGGCGTTCTACTGCAACGTCGTTCGTGAACTGGTTTTTTGAGAAGTTTTCTGGGAGGACGCGTCGTACAATGATTCCCGAGCCAGTGGTTGCGGACATTGTTGACGTTAATATTGAAGCTTGAGCCTGTCCTGGTATACGTTCCCGCCCTCGTCCAGGATTTCTTCAGAGGGCGTCCGAGGAGCTGTTCGTGCGATTTAAATGAAAGAATGCAGCACATACGAGTTGTGTGGAAGTATATATTTTCCGAGAAATTCTGCCTGCCTACGTTCAGTTGATACACAAGGGATGCAACTTTGGAGAGGACTTCTAAGACGTTAGAAGCTTTTTTGAATGATGAAAATAACACGCTACCGGTGGCGGGTGCAATCTGTATATTGGGTGAGAGGACCGAGGTGAGGCCTGCATCTGAGACCCGGATTAAATCTAGGAGGGGTAGTCAGAATAATAAAGTAGGTAGATGAGTGAAGCGTGCCGCACAGTAGTAGCATGACAACGTATATGGACGCTATTGGGTGGACTTTTTATATGCCCGTTTCCATATAGTGTCAGAGCCGACAGGCCTCCTCCATGCACAAAGCTCAAACCCCTGACCCTTGATAAATGCCATGTGAATATTAGCCTCCAAGGAGTTGTATATGCGGGATTGGATTAGGACTTACTAGTTCGTAGCTGCTCAAAGCCCTTTTTTGCAAGTAGAACGGAATCGGTAAAGTAGAAGCCATTCAGACTCACATGAGGGCTGAAAGAGCAAGGGACTTGTAGTCAGCATCTAGAAGATGTGTGTGTACAAGATTTTGCGTTTTGTGAAGAAACCCGCGAATAGCAATGTCGTCCGAGAAAATATTGACGAGCACAGCCTGAGGTATTTTGTCAGAAACCGAGCTAGGGAGCAACTTGCGCGGGAAGCGAGCGGTCTGAAATTCTGAATCCAGTGCATCACATCAATCGGTGATAAACAGAAAGACACAAGTCAAGCACAATGCTATGCAGTATGTTTATCAGTATCCTGAATATCTATCCATCGACCCAGCAGTGACAGGGTCAGTCACTACATCATTGCGTATAACCTCGCGCATTCATGGTTTTGACTCGCACAGTGTCTCGAGGAGAACCTCGGGGCTAAGTATTAATGTGTCGGGGATTCCTGAATCAGTCCAAGAAGTACGTCTGATTGCGGCCAAGGCTGATTGTGCGGTTGGCGATATGAAGGCGCTGTATGCAGAGACCCCACTCCCGATCGTGCCGAAGAGCACCTAAACTGCGCTATGAATTCGGGCCCCATGGATACATTCTCGATGACTACAAGTTTACTTGTACACACCTGAAGTTGAATGCCAGATGCATGTTCCAATTGCCCGATGATAAACGGCAGTTCTGAACCATAAGGTTGCGCACACTCGATCAGCCCACTTTCCTATAGGCGTATGATAGGCAGGAAGGCTGATTATCTGATCCTGGGGAACACCGGTTGGGACCTCAGAATGTGTAAGCCACTGCTAACCCAAACCCTTGGGACTTACCTGAATATTCACCACATAAGAACGAAGATACGGTATAGGAATGTATGTTCCATGGAGCTCGAGTCAACTGTTTTTAACTGCGTTCGGCAACACTCAATGCAAGTGCGAAAAATGTCAAGAGTATTGTGCAATACTCCTGTATGACATGGCAGCGACGCAAATTTGAGAACACGCTGTTCTTCCTTGATGGAAATATACGCAAAACGAAGTGGAAATAGGCTGAATATCGTGACAATTATTCCTCGAGAAGTAACAATGGTAGGTAAAATAACCAATTGAACTGATACAAAATCACCATCAATACAGAGCTTGGAGTCGAACGATACTGTTACTGTCAATAAAAGTTGGTCTGTCTGTGGGTCACAATCTCTATGGGATATGTCAGAAATCATCATCCTTTCGACAGGACCCTGAAAATGATGAATGATTGTTCATTTGATGTAACAAATACACCTACGAATTTGTGGCACTACAATTATCGACATCATTTCGACGACGAAAGAGTGGTAGCCTGTCCAAGAAGCGATGCTTGTATGAGGATGAGGAAGGTACCAGACTAGGAAGGACTCCAATAGGCTCCTTGGGCTGGTTCGAGTCCTTTGGTGCATCCTGTCAAGATAATAATTAAGCGTGCGAAATTTAAACTACAGCCCAAACGCTGGCACTCACTTCGAGAGCATTGTTAATCTCGTTGCTGGGCCAATTCTCAGTAAATGCTGAGGGAACATTCAGATCAGGTGGAACCTGCGGCAGTCAAATCAGAGATATCACACTATGGTACGATATACATACTCCATTCTGAAGCGCCAGCGGGGGAAGGAAGCCAGCGACCTGTTGCTTGCCATGAGTATTGAGAGCATAAGTAATACACTTCCCTACCTCCTGTATCAAGAGCTCGTTAAGAATCTGAAATAATTGCTCGCATCAGCTACTTCTCACAATGAAGCGCACAGTGCAAGCAATTCTTACATCTTCATCTGAGGGAGCCAATGGCAATTCCGGAGCTGGTTCACAGCTATCCATTATACTAGCGTCTGGCTTAGTGTATGGCTCGATATCCCACAGATACACCTTGGTGTCTTTCCCGCCACATGCGACTCGCTTACGGTCAGGGGAGAATGTGACGCAATAGAGTTCGTCGGCATGCTCGAAGGGGGGGCTGACTGCTTCATAGGTACGCACGCTCCATAGGCGAACAGTACAGTCAGAGGATGCGCTCGCAATGAAGCGACCATCAAAAGATATTGCGATGGCGTGAACTGTGTTCGTGTGTCCCTGGAGGAGAGCGACTTGGGCTCCGGTCCCTGACGACCAAACCCGGATCGTTCCATCTCGAGAACCTGAGAACATTTGTTCTCCACTTCTCGACCAACAGACACTCGTCACTGCATCAAGAGGTCCCCCAACATCCAGCGTAAACCTCCCCAGACCACTTCCTTCAGGTAATCGTATTACGTTTGTCTCTTTGGGGTGAGTTGGGGTAGGCCGTCCTCGCGGTGGGACAGCGGTTCGCCGTGGTTGATCTTCGGCATTTCTCATTCGTCTTGATCTTCTGAACCTTGGTCGTTCCATTGTGATTGTTGGGGTCTCTTGGAAGCCAACTGGTAATGGACCGCCCGTCTATAAGACACCCATCCGACTAGCACGGGCGGCATATTCGATACCCAGTTTGGCGTACCCCTCCCACGTTCCCAACATGCACAATACGCATTGTGGGTGTAGATATGCACTGCATATTTCCACAGCATACACGTGTTGAGCAACACACAGCATTATGATGGCAGCCTTGCATCCTATGGACGAGGTCACTCGTGTTAGTGTCTTAGGATCACTTTCGGAACGGAATAAGCTGTGAATTTGCTATAACTTACTTGCTGTTCCCGGGAAGAACCGTCGGATCACGTGGGGACAACGTTTCACAGCATCATTCTTTGATCATTCCTCTGAGCATCTGACACTTTTCCTGCATATAAAGCCGTGTCTACAACTCCTATTCAGACTCTTCTATCGCCAGGCATGGTAAACGGGATGGATGTTTGTACCGGATTCAAGAAATTTTACCCATAAGCATGCTTTGTCTTTTCCGAACGTCCTCCGGTGGGAGTTGCCATCGTTCCAAGATCATCTGTCGATTGCGACTTTCTGCTGATTGGGCACTGTTACTATCTAGGTATCAACGCCTCTTATAGAGGATTCTTTAACTGCATCGATGCTTTCAATTCGTCGTTAGGCGCAGCATCTTAATTAATCATGTTGTACGTGTCCCAAACACCTGCGAAGAAGACGAAGACCATCTAGTAGTGTGTCCGAACCGGTTTCGGGGATGCTGGCAGAGGAAGACGAAATCTTGTGCAGCCCAGGGAAATAGGAAAGGATTCGGTATACATTTGAGTTCAGTTCTCCTGCACGAAAATAGGGCACAAACAACACGAACGTCACCATGTCCACAAAGGAGTGAGGAAGATGTCAACCCTGTCATCGCCTAGTAAGCATAGTATCAAGATGTTCCGTCTTTTCTCTCACCTCATAATAGACGTCATGCGGCGTACATTGCTCAAACACCGCCGCTGCAGTGTCTGCTGCTAAGGCGGATTTTACGTCGACGAATCTATGCAAATTCATCTCAACTACATGGAACATTCTTGACAGAGATTCACATGGTACAGGAGGGATGGGTTTAACTTGTTCGACGAAGAGACTCTTATCTACTCTTTATTGGTATAGATTTGAAACTGAGGTGTCTTGTTCAATGCTAACCCTAGGCCTTATGTTTGTATCGCACTCCCGCGGAGAACCTTCGTCGTAGAAATGGTTTCGGGCTATGCCGATGTTGTGTCTGGTCGCGTTTTGAATGTGTAACACGCTTCTGTCACAGGGTCTTCTTCCTACATAGGTGTGAGATCGCGTTAACGTTGCAGGCGGCTGTATCCTCTTTGTCCCGCACCGCTTGGTGTCTTCTGATCCAATATCACGACCACCAGACAGCTTCCCGATTCTTCCATCTCGGCATGTGTCCCACCCTTGGCAGTGGAGTCCCTCGTGGATGCCTAACTATATTACCCCAGATTCCTACACCTTCAGCGCTTATATTTGCTGTATTCCTAGAGTTGCCTCGTCCTGTGAAACCTTTGGTTGGGAACTGGTCTTCCCGAATCATACCTGGTCAAACGGCTCCGACTGCCGTACAGTAGCACGGGAAACGGGAGTTTCAGATGCCAGATGAATGTGGTATTGTCCAAGAGAGGTTGAAAGTACATCTGATGGAAAACGAAGAAGGGGAAGCAGAAGCAGAAGCAAATCTTGAGTCTTTCCCCGTATAGGTATCATTGTGCCTCCTCTTGCATTCATTCTAGGTGGGGAGCACACATTTGTCATTCACTAATATTGAAGCCTTGGTTGCAGGATTCGTGATTTTTTTCTGGGGCATGAAAGGCGAGCCTACAACATGACATCAATCCATTTACATCCGGTGCTAATATATTATTATGCGCCATTTGACCGTTAATACCAACTGCGCAAGTCAAGTTGTGTGCCCAAGAGTGGGAGCCACTGGCAGTTGTGACGCACTTGTATGAAACCATCGATACCACTCTGTGCTTCCCTGAATCCCGATTGCATGATGCTGTTCCGGACAAATTTGAACTACCAACTTTTATAGATTTAAACCCCGTTGCCAATCTTGCAAAAAAGGCATGAAGGGGAATATTCGCGAATTCGAGATAGAGATGGAAAATTGACAGTCCAAATTTAAATCCGGGTACAGTGAAGCTGACGTAGAGCTGACGATCCGAGTGACCAGAGTGAGTAGCTCCAATGAACCTCCCCCCGACGGTGGTGAAATGGAGGCCACTAGTCTAATGTCATGGTCATGTCCCGATTCACCAGACGAACTGCAGCAATATGTGGCATGTAAGTAAATTGTATCAGTTTGTTTTTTCTGACTTCTCAGCTTCGAATCGCCATTCAATTGAATTTGATTATTTTCGCATCGCGAAGTTCATATCAAGTGAGCTGATTCTGATTCTGATATTAGGATAATCAAATCTTGCCCTTGTATTATTACCTCTATGTTTATGCAGTGACACAGTGTGCGAGGATATACCCTAGGAGTGCCCCGTGTCTTACCTCAGGCCAGTCTTATTCGCGTTCGGGCGATAGATTCCCTGGTAACTTCCGTATTATGGCTATGGTAGCTGGTAAATCCTCAGATCTGCAAATTTAATGAGAGCGTGTTTCATCGACTTAATTCCTCCACATAGTACTATGTATCACGCTGTTACCTGTAAAATTTGCTTGCAGACACCTGTATGTACCACTAGGCTGACGGATGGTTGTGCATGAGTACTGAGTTCAAAGCCCATTGTGGGATCGCACCGCTGGGTATTTGACTTTGACCCAGTAGTACCAAAACTTCGAAAGGAACAATTTGAAGAGCCCACGGTCAACCCGATTCGAGGCTTAGTCAGCCCAGAGGTGGTTTGTTTGACAACAGCTTGTGATCCAAACAACGCCTCGGACTCATCCTTCTCAGTCGTGTCGAATTGTTCAAGTACACGCTACATGGAAGAGGACAAGTTTTCTCCGTTTCAAATGGGCAAAGACAAGCTTTGCTCTGAATTAGGTGCAGCAGGCAACAGAGTCTTATACCTAATTCAAAGTATGCAGGCCTGTTTGAAATCCGGTGAAACCTTGATCGCGAGCAAGAGGCTGGCATGCTAACTTAATGATGTCAGCCTTTCAGGTATAAAACCCGCACCCGAAGGCTGAAACACCAGTGTTCATCTTTCTTGCTCACTCCCATCGTCCGCACATCTGCATCTTCGCATATCCAGACGATTTTACTTGCATCTATCTATCTATCTATCTATCGATATGTCTTCCGACAAGTGTAACGTTCGCCTCTCTTTGTGTTCCCCTTCTCTCTCTTCTGGGATTTCTACGCTCGTCTTCGTTCTTGATGTCCTCAAGATTGTGACCTTGGTCCTCTTCTATCTTGTTGTTATCATGGCTGGACTGGCCTTCGACGTCTACCGCTGTCAGTTCGACCCTTCGACGGCCCAGAGTCCTGCTCTGTCCATAGGTTCACCCACGCTCCAGGAAGCGGAGAAAGCAGTCTGCCCCTCGAAGGCTGCTTCTTCGTCAGTCACATGTGCTTCATCTCCATCAGGCCTCTCTCCGTCCTCATCGTCCCCTGCCATCCTGGAATCAGATTTGGACAGCCTTCATCTTTTACCTGAGCCTCGGCTGCACTGGAGCATTAGTTGTTCCGACATTAGCCCGCAGTTGCACAACGCTCCGATAGGCCCTGGCCACTATGTCCACGCACTGTTCTCCGATGCGTGGAACGAGAATGCCGTTCTCCTGAAGCAGCTCTTACACGTGCAGGATGCTCTCAACACTGCCAACACTGATATCGATGGGCTCGTGCTGGAGAACTTAACCATGAGCAACCAAATGGACCGTTTTAGGCGCGATCTAGAGATTGAAGAAGTTCGTCGCAACGAAGCTGAATTGACGTCCCGGGATGCTACAGCCAAGATGAGCTCCCAAAGGTCTATCCTCTCCTCGTTACAATCTGCCAATATTGCACTCCGCTTCGAGATTGCAAACCTTAAGGCCGAGCGCGACGAACTCATAGCCGAGAAGAAGTCATCCGACTTACAGCAAGAACATGATGAAGAAGTCCAAGCGTTGCAAGGAACGCTCGTCCGGACGAAGAGGGAGCTCGAAAGAGCCAAGAAGGAGCTGAGGAAGTTGAAGAGAGCAGCTGCAGGTGAAAAGTTTTTCTCTATGTTTTTCGCTGTTGCCTGACTCTCACGAACAGGAATACCTGAATTGAAGATAATATCTCCTGAAGGGAACGTTATACCCTATACCTCGAGCAGTATGTTTTCCTTTCTCCCCCAACTATCATTGCTAACACGCCGTCCTAGGTACCGATTCCTTGAGCGAAGATCGAAATATTTCGATGAGGGAACGCCTTACGCTCGCGTACACGGAGGTTGTCAGCCTTAGGGACCAGTGCACAGCTTTGCATCGTCATGCAGACGAAAACGCAGAGTTACAGGAGGATGTCAAGCAGCTTCTCGCTCAGCGCTCGGGTCTCTGGGATCAGGTTGAAGCGGCCAACAGTGCATGCCGCAAACTGGAGGAGGAGAACAAGAAATACTTCCGTCAGTTTGTGGAGATCAGAGCTGAGCTAACCAAGGTAGAGAAGAGAACTGGTCGGTTGTTTATTTCTTTGTTGTGGCTGGCGCTGAAACTTCCGCTCGTCAAGGAATCGCGATTTCAGTCATCGAAGAAGAAGAGGAAGAGCTCGAAGTGGCAGCTCATGCTGTATCCAAAGTTCCACCGACTGATCAGGGTTGTCGTTCGGCATTTGATGACGACTCTGACGACGAGTCTATTGCTTCCTCGGTCTCGTGTTATTCGATGGCATCCACGGATGACTTTGACAGTGAGATTTCGTCGGCTTCTACCGTTTTTGAGCGCTAATCATCTTCACAGTGTCCCTGCCCTCTGAGGTTGATACGCCTCATACATCAGTTCCGTCCTCCCCATGTTCTTCACTTTCTGCGCCCCCTTCTCCCTCTTTTACGATGCCTTCTTGGGTTCCGTGTTTTGACTCAGCATGCACGGATTTTGCATTCGACGTCGTTCCGGGCTCACCCCTCGCGGATGCGATCTCCGTGTATGGCAGCATCCACCAGCCTATTGGTGTCAGCCATCGTCCATTCGTCACCCGTCGTGGTCTCGGTATTCCCATCGTCCGTCCTTCCTGGCCTTCCGCTAGCTCCGTCTTTGCCCCTTTCGACGAAGCGTCCCCCAAGCGGAAGTTGGCTCTGGATCTGGATGATGCGACACCTAGGACTCGTCGGAAGCACGAAGAATGTTGATGCATCAAATTTACAGTGTCTCGTTTGCAAAGGTTTTTTTTCTCTTCCCGACATTTCTTTCCTTCTTCCTATTTTTCTTGTCCCATCATTCCTACGATTTCCTTCTTTTTGCATTTGGTCGCAAGGTTTGTGTTTTGGTTAACGGGCTGTTCCTTTGGCTTGCGGTGGTCCTGGTTCCGGTTGCATCGTTCGGCTGGGATGCTTTCCCTCGGGGATCTTGATGAGGTGAAGTACTTTCTTGGGTTTCATTGCTGCTTATATCTGTCTTCCACGTCTGCCCTTTAAAGTGGCACGGGAAACTCTATAGGTGGTTGTGTTTCTCTTGGACTTGCGGATCTCTCGGACTGGTCTCCTCTAGTGATGGTATTTAGGCAGATCATGTACTCGGCTTACTCGGTGCTGTAATACATTGAGATTGTCATGAATTATAATTCAGTCTTGCGACGAACCTGCGATAGTACTAAACCTTGAAAACAATTAGGTGAGTTGTAAATAGTCGACGTTGAAGCGATCCGTACTAGCGCAAATTGGTTATCGGTTATGTATTTACGCCAGCGCACTGATGGGAATTCTGACAACCGATATCATTGCATAACAGTGGACAACATGCGGCAGGTCACGAGGCGCGCGTAATGCCACGATGATGTCTGTCTCCATAATGCGATTGTAAATACATTCATCCGCCACAGTCAGACTGGCGCAGCCTATCCCACTGATAAAAACCGATAATGGACTGTGACCAAAGGCAGGCGCTCTCGTGCGCGTGGACAATGGCATTTATCACGTGATGAAACGCGAACGCGTTTGTTTGTTTGTATTATGAGTGGATGGTTGAAATTTAAAATGGCCATTTCTGGAATAGTTCAAGTAGTTCCTCTCATCTTCCGTTCGCTCTTCGTTTTACATTCCATCCATCTAGCTACTGCACGCACAGATAGAGTACCCTCTGCGTAAATTAGACAGCTAATGTCTTCCAACTTACCAGTAAGTCCCACATGCGTTATCGATTCTTGTTCGTCATCGATGAGCTTGTCGCTGATTGATATGTTATGTTTCAGACTCGCCGTGTAACGCGGGTTACCCGTACGGCGGTTCAGAAGGACAGCGAGAACGCTAATGCCCGCCCATCTCGTGTTATCTCCCGTGTGAAGCCTCCATCGACGTCTGCCATTCCCGCTCCCACCGCCACACTCCAATCCAGGGCCTTGGGCGCTACCGCGGCTTCTCGTGCAAAAGTTGGGGCCAACGATGAAAACAAGGTCGATCTTACTCTCCAGGGAAAGCGCAAGCGCGAAGCGCTTGGCGAAGTTACGACCAAGAACATCAACAAGAACAAGGCCGCTGCCACGGCTGCTAAGGACGGAAAAGGCAAAGGCAAAGAAGTAGCCCCACCGACCAAGGAAATGTTTGATGGCGTAGTGATAAAGGCGAAGCCCACTATTCCTTTGAGACAGATCACCGCTCCCACACGTCGCACTACACGGTCTGTGATTGCCCCAGAGGTAAAACCGTTGAAAGATATCAAGGAGGAACTTGTGGTCAATGACGATGACGCAATGGCTGTGGATGATCACCCACCGGCTCCTGAGCCTTCGCGACGTGTTTCAACCCGCAGGTCGGGGGCGAACACCCAACAGGTGATCACCCAGGAGGTACAACGTGTTCAGGCTGCTCGACGAACTTCTTCGCATCTCGTCTTAAAGACTGAGACACACGAGGAAGTTCAAGACGATCGTGTATTTAAGAAGAGGCGAACGTCTTCTGATGCTCCCGAGACTGACATAGACGAGCAAGCGCAACACGAGGCAGAAGTGGCGGCTGTTCTGGATGTCGATGTGGCACCTGAAGCTGACCCCGATGGTGACGAGTGGGACGATCTCGATGCTGAGGATTCCGATGATCCATTGATGGTCAGCGAATATGTTGTCGAGATCTTCAAGTACATGAAGCAGACCGAGGTACGAGTCTCCGAATATTTTTATCATTCCGTTGTAATTAATGAGCCGTCTTCAGCTTGTAACACTTCCCAATCCGGAATACATGGCATCACAAAAAGAGCTGGCCTGGTCGATGCGTGGAATCCTTCTCGATTGGCTAGTGCAAGTACATGCACGGTTCCGATTACTTCCTGAGACCCTGTTCCTCTGCGTGAACATTATCGATAGGTTCTTGTCGGCACGCGTCGTCTCCCTTGCTAAACTTCAACTCGTCGGCATTACGTGTCTATTCGTCTCTTCTAAGGTTGAAGAGATTGTCGCACCATCCGTCTCGCACTTCCTTCACTGCGCGGACTCATCCTACACTGAATCCGAGATTCTTCTCGCAGAGCGGTACGTCCTGAAAACAATCGACTGGAACTTGAGCTATCCGAACCCGATGCACTTTCTGCGCCGTATAAGCAAAGCGGATGATTACGATGTTAAATCGAGGACGATGGGAAAGTATTTATTAGAAGTGGGTACACTGGAGTGGCGGTTGCTGGCCACGCCACCTTCCCTGGTTGCTGCTGCGGCGACCTGGTTGGGACGCCTCATTCTCGGCAACGATAAATGGGTAAGTAGTGTGTGTGCCATGTTCGATCTTGTTGATAACATTCCTGGGTTCTAGACTCCTAATCATGCCCATTTCTCATCGTATGCGGAAAGCTCCATAATTCCGACAGCCAACCTGATGCTTAACTATATTCTTAAACCCATCCGTCACGAATCGTTTTACAAGAAATACGCCGGCAAGCGCTTCATGAAGGTACGTCTTAATGAACTGCGCATGCATAGTAGATAACCCAATTATCATGCAGGTGAGCATACTCGTACGAGAGTGGGCTCTAGAGCGGTGGGAAGAAGGCGAACAAGTGTCTCTTTTAGCCGAGTTGCCAGTCATTCGTGCAAGGAATCGAGCGGAAAGGGAGCGGCTAGCGGCAGCAGGCTTGGACGGTGACGAGGATGAAAACTCATAAGGCCGGCGACGCGCATGGTCTCCTACCCCTTCGTTCAATCTTCTTAATCATGGCTATCACTCACCTAAAACGCATATCCATTTTACGGACACCCACAATATCTATCCCCCGCCTGCATCATATCCATCACACGAGCATCATGATCATTGTTAATTTTGTGCAACACAACCATCACACCATCCCACAACGCCAACTTCATTTTTTGTTCTTTGAGTTGATTCTATGATTATCAAATACGGTTTCTCTCCACATCCGCCTGTTTATGCGCCACATCTATGCCTCCTGCTCTGCGCTCGATCTGTCGCTGTCACGCTGCTGTCTGATCTAGTACGCATCTCGCTCGCTGTCTGCCGTACTCGATTTGTCGATTCGCGCAAATGCACCAGTACCCGCCTGGACACCCCCCTCTTCATCGTTGCTTGCTCTGTTCTCGCTTGCATCATGCTGTTTTACTGGTCACCGCTCTGTTCATTTCGCGCTACCCGTACATATCCCCTTCAGCTACACCCGCGTATCACCATCATCATGTTACCGCTTTGTTCACCACAATCCCTAGGACTTATTTTCCTTATACCGTCGTTTCATCCGACGCGTTCTTGATAACTTGTTTTCCACTTAAATTCCCGGAGTGGTGAGATATATTCTGTATAATCTGTAGGCCAAATCAAAGGATTGTCCTGTTGTGAGGACTTGAAAGCCATGGAAGATGTGTAGCTTTCAAGAAGTCCATTTACGGAATTAACTTGTATTGCATGCAGACGTGGCGCTGCATAAAAAACTCGCTCAGACTCCCCAAGTAAACGCCCAAAAATCTCTCTGGCGGGGAATCGAACCCCGCTTTCCCGCGTTTATCTCGTGATGACAGGCGGGTGTACTATCCGATATACTACCAGAGACTTGTAAGCGTAGAAATAATCTTCCCCATGAATGGTACTCGTACATTAAAATACCAACGTACCTCTAACACGCAGCCATGGGAGCGATTGGTTATGGAGCAACTACATGGCTGAGCTGTCTCTTCTGAGAGCTTACCTTTATCAAAGTGTGTGGCTTTGCATATGGCATGCGGAGATCAAATTTACAAAACTTGGAGCTTGAAGGCCGTATTCTTTCCACTCTAAACCGCTTTCATCATCCCTCCACGTGGGTCACGAAGCTCATTGTTGTTCGTGCATTTTCAACACACTATCGGAAACTGGGATATCGTGTCAATCTGCATCTCCATATCAAGTCGGATCCATCAGAGCCATGGGAGCAGCAGACAGGTTGGATGAAACCAATTTTGAACGAATGCCCTGGTTATCTTCCATATAAGTTCGTCGCCGATACCTGACTGGCAACGCGGGTCTATCATTCATTCCAATATGCAGACAAACGCTGTTTTTACTGCTTGTCAAACGAAACTCGTCAACCAGCATTTGTCGATGTGTCAGATATCGCAGACCTCCGTTCCATGACGACGAGGAATGCAATCTTCTCGCACCGATTGCGCAGCCGTTCATAGGTCTGAAGGAGGTCAAGGGCTTCCTAACTTTTACTTCCCCAACGAAGCATTGTTAGTGACCGGTGAAGCTGAAGGCCAGCACGAGAGAGATATGGATGGATTCGAGTTGTAGGGACGCCAGATGGTTATCCTAGCCATCCGCTGTGTAAATTTCAATTCAACGACTACCAGTTATGTAGTAATAAGATATTTCGTCTCGAGCACGGCGCGCGTGTCACGCAGGTTGTCCTTATTTGAACAGGTGTGTGATCATTGACATTTGTAAGAATCGACTAACTTCCAATTTGGTCTGACCGCAGGAGATGAATTTCGTTGCTATCATTTCCACAATCTAACCGGCACATGGCTCAAACTGAAGAACACCCCGAATTCTTTCCTTCGATCGCAGACGTTGTCCATAAAACCAATGCCGGAGAAGAAGAAGATATCAGCGCTAGACCAATGGAGGAGATCGAGTCTCTTTGCATGCAGTGTGAGGAGCAGGTGCGTTCGCAAACATTCTCATTGCTGGTGAAATTGAATATTCATATCAATCAGGGAGTAACTCGAATGATGCTCACGTCCATCCCATTCTTCCGGGAAGTTATCGTGATGAGTTTCCGATGCGAACATTGTGGCCATTCAAATAACGAGATCCAGTCGGCGGGGAAGATTAGACGTGCGCACTCGTTTCATCTTGTTACCCGTACCTCCTAACATGAAATCTCTGAGTCAGCTGAAGGCGCTATGTACACAGTCAAAATCCTTAATCGCAGTGACCTTGACCGCCAGCTCATCCGCTCAGAATCTTGTACGATCAACATCCCTGAATTTCAGCTGGTCCTTCCGCCTTCCCGTGGGCAGCTTACAACTGTCGAGGGTCTTCTCAGGGACATTGTTGCGGATCTCAACGTACAGCAGCCACTCAGACGCATCCAAGATGAGAACGCATACGCTAAGATCCAGGAAATTATCGATGGCCTCAAGGAGATCATTGCTGATGACGAAGAGGAAGATGAAGAAGGAAAGGACAAACTTGAGAAGAGAGACCTTTCGAAAGAGGATCCAGTTGCACGTGTGATCACCATCACCCTCGACGATCCATCTGGGAATTCGTTCCTCGAGTTTGTGGACAGCATGTCTGATCTAAAATGGAACATGCGCACATACGAGCGATCGCTTGAGCAGAATCGGCAGCTTGGATTGGCACCCCCTGCAGAAGACAAGGAAGAAAATGTGGTAGATGAGACAGAACAACAACCTGGGGGTCCGGACGAGGAAGTGTTCGAGTTCCCTGGTATCTGTTCGCGCTGCAGCCGGCCTCTTGTCACGCGCATGAAGAAAGTTTCTATCCCTTATTTTAAGGTTCGTATCGAAGGCACACATAATCGTCATGTCTGACAATCCTACTGACAGGACACTCTTATAATGTCGACAAACTGCGACGACTGCGGATATCGGGATAATGAGATTAAGTCGGGGGCTGCAATTTCTGAGCTTGGCAAGAAGATTACGTTAAAGGTGGAAGATAGAGACGACCTGAGCCGAGACATACTTAAAGTAAGTACTTCCTTTTTTTTCGAGCTCTTTGACCAAGAGTGTCCTGTAGAGCGACACGAGCGGCCTTAGCATACCGGAGATAGATCTCGTTCTTCACCCCGGCACACTAGGTGGACGTTTCACAACTTTGGAAGGCATTTTAGATCAGGTATACGAGGAACTCACCGAGAAAGTATTTAACACGGGAGACTCTGGGGTCGCAGATGTTGACGATAGAGCTGCGTTCCAGGAATTCTTGAGAAAGCTTAAGCAGGTGTGTTCTCTTACCATCGCGCGACTCTCATTTTGATATTAATGGTTGCTAAGGTCAAGAACGCCGAGATACCATTCACCTTGATACTGGATGACCCTCTAGCAAATTCATACGTGCAGAATTTGTACGCACCTGATCCAGATCCGAATATGGAGGTCGTCGCATACGAACGAACGTGGCAACAGAATGAGGATCTTGGATTGAATGATATGAATGTGGAATCGTATAGCGGCGATGATACGACGGATGGTGATGTAAAAACACAGAGTTCATAGCAGTGAAAGTTTGCCACGTCGGTTTGGACCGTCTGCTCTGCAGACAGAGCTACTGTGCGTCATCTACCATCGTTCCTGAAAAGAGCACAAATAATTATTAATATCCTGCATCAATGCATCAAATTTACATGTCAGTACTAGGATTGTATTGCAAAGAAGACGGCTATATTACAAGTGACTTCGACCTGTGAAACGGACCTAGTGCGCGCTGTCGCAACGACTATTATTAGTCCTCAGCTTTTGGAATCCAATCAATAACAGGCTTTATTGGCTTACTATACTTCCTGTTATTGATGCGCCTTTCAAGAGAGTCTACTATGTTGAAGGCACAGTGACACGAAGATCTCGCGGGACGCTAGTGACATCCGAACCTTGGCCACGGAGTGTTTAGATAGTGAGCATCACCTCCATATCCGGAATCGCCTGTTCGCTGGCATGCAGCAACTGGAGGAGTGAGGATCAGGCTTTGGGCAAGGTATTTGTAAATTGAAGCTTCCTGTGGAGCATGTTTGCTGGAGGTAAGTCACCGCGGTGCCTTGCCAACATCTTCACCTACTAGTAGTAGATATTTTTGTCCCTTTCGCCCCACGCGTTCTCTCAAAGAGACACTGTTATTCACTATAAAGGCTGGACGATCTGGACATGATGTCCTGTTTTTCCTGATCGCGATATACTGTTCCCCGGCAATGCTGTGCTACCAGTGGTTATCCCTCGTGCTTGTCTTAGCGACTAATGTCGTTGCGTGTACTGACTCACCCTCTCCAAGATCAAAAGAGCCAAACAGTGTACCGTCTCAGTGCCAGGCACGTGCCTGGGTGAGAGCACCTGACATGGTTCCCGGCGAAGTCATCGCAGGGGATGTCAAGATTAAGCTTAGCGGACCATGCACCGACGCCAAGAGCTATCTGCTAGGCTTGCGCTATAAGGAAAGAGTGTTCTGGCAGTCGCGGTAAGTTTTTTTCACGCTTTCGTATCCTCCACTGAGCATCCAAACAGAAGGGAAGATGCGCCCAAATGGGAGGATGATTGGTGGCCGTACGAGAACAAGGACTCGTGGTCTATGCACGAGGAAGAACGAATTGCCTTTGAGATCAAGAGTCCTCTGACCCTTGCAGGGGGGACAGGTACGAATTGAGATTTTGAGTTGACTCAAAGCTTAATGCAGAGAACAGATACATTATCAAGAAACTTCACGGCCCGGTTCGGAGTTCTGGTACCAAATACAAACTACCCTCCAGGATTAGACTGTCGTCGAGGCTGCACGTATGACTGGGGAGTGACTGATGTAAGAACAGTCTTTATTGATTTTGTCTTGTGCTCAGTGTTGTTACAGATAATATCCGGTGAATCGATTTACGAGTACTTTGTCGAAATCGAGTTTAGCAATGGTACCACTTCAGAGATACCTGCCGGAGTGACATCCTTTACCCCGTTCTACCTCTCGACGGAAAACAACGCACCCAGTGCTAACGTATCTTTATCTTCGACACGCTCCAGTTTTAGCATGAAACCATCAGTAGACGGGTTGCGGAGCAACTACACGGTTGAAGTATCTTTTCCTGAAGGAGCACACGTCTATCGAAGTATGTCTCAGTGAAATGGAAACCTCAATGCAGTGATCTGATTGGATGCTTTCTAGACTCGTCCGTGAATTTTACGGCTATTGTTCATCGGACAGGATATACGAATCGGACAGACATTCCTGTAGAGCTGTGTGCGTGCTTGACGAATGACTTTAAATGGCATTCTCAAGAGCTCCAGAACAAAACACAACCGTTTCCATCGTTCGTCAGGGCATTGGTCCCCTCCATTGTTACCAGGCAGCATTCACCTCGTTCCCCATGCAGAGAGATCAGTTTTGCAGCAACCCCTGCATCCTTGGCTCACGAAAGCCACATTATTTCCACGTCCTCCGAACCGCTTTCATTATCCCTCTACGTGGAACACGATGATGTGCCAGATTTTTCAACCTACTATCAGAAACTGGGACATCTTGTCCGTCTGGATCTCTTTATCGCGCCTGATCCATCAGAGCCATGCGAAAATGAATCCGAGGAGCTACAATGGGAGGAGCTGCCATGGGAGGAGCAGATTCTGGACGCGGATGAACTTGACTGGGTGCCCTGGATGCCGACACAGACTCCTCCGAGTCCCCGAACCCTTTCCGGCAACACCAATGTGCTGTCAGTCATTTCAATGCAGAAGCAGGGATCTGTGCGATTGATGCCAGTCCACTACCTGTCTGACCAAGCTCGCCAACCAGTATTTGTCCATTCGTCGGACATCGCTGACCTTCGTCTGATGTTGCCAGAGGAACGTGATCTCATTGCCCCACTTACGCAGCCGTCTATAAAGGTGTTTGCCAAGGGAGAAGAAATTGCACACAGATATCGCACTGGCGGTGACTGGCAGTACCCGATATACGTTGGGGACACCTGGGTCAAGAAAGTACTGCCTATGATTACTAAGGATCAGGGCGAGAGTCATACTGTGGATCACTTGCTCGTTGTGCAATGATGACGATCTTCAGTTGATGCAATGATGCCAGGGGGTAGTCATAAGTTCAACTAGTGTGTAGTGATTCACACACGATGAAATTTATGTGGAGGAACGATACACGCGGGAGGTTTTATGACACGCTAGAACAAAGGTACGAGTCTCAGTATTCGTTTCGAATCTCTATTAACAATTGTTTGTACCTAGAACAAAGGTACGACTAGATGTACGTCAGCGCTTGCGCTCGAACGTTACAGTGGGACTTGTACTTACGTCTCAGTATTCGTTTCGAATCTGAGACGTTTCGACGAAAACAGCGTCCTCTTATACGGTGAGTCTGCCAGCAATAGCTTTGATGAAAAATATATACTTAAAGAACGAAAAGATTGCCGACGTTGACACGTCGTCGACGTTCTCCGTTTGGAGACGCTCGCACTCGATGTGCTCTATTCTTCGGCCGTATCGTCCTTTCCTTTCTCAGCTCTCTCTCTCTCGGCCTTACTTCCCTCGGACACATCGGCTCTCAACACTCCCCCTCGAGCGTTATCCAAACACATCAATGTCCTCAACCTCTGGAGTCGGGGACGTGCCAATGGCTTCGTGAACGCGTCCGCGACATTGTCGTCACTGGGGCAGTAGATTATCTTGAAGGTACCGTCCTTCACGTGGCCGCGTACGAAGTGGTATCGCAGGTCTATGTGCTTGGTGCGCGATTGGAATTTTCCCGTCGAGACTAACGCTATAGCAGCTTGGTTGTCGCAGAAGATGGGTGTGGGGAGGTCTTGGACGTCGTAGAGCTCGCGGATGAGGAGTTGCAGGTAAAGTACTTCCCTTGCCACGCTGGTCAACGCTATGTACTCAGCTTCAGCTGTTGACAGGGCTATGATAGGCTGTTTGCGCGCGCTCCACGAAACGGGGCCTCCATGGAGCAGTACGATGTACCCGCTCATGGAGTGCCTATGTGGCTGCGATGCCCAATCGGCATCGACAAACGCCTCAATTCCTCCCTCGCTGGATCCCAACGTCAGCTCATAGTCTGCGGTGCCTTTCAGGTACCGCAGGGCGCGTTTGGTGGCCTCCCAATGGGGTCTCCCCGGATTCCTCATAAATTGCGACAGTGTTGCCACCGCAAAAGCGATATCTGGCCGGGTACTCGTAGCTGCGTACATTAACGAACCGATCGCGCGTTGATATGGTATGTCTCGCATAGCTTGGAGTTCGGCGTGTGTTGCAGGGGACTGATCTATGGAAAGGACAGTACCTGGTTCCATGGGCGTGTGCAGGACCTTCGCGTCCTCCAGGTGGAACCTTTCGAGGATCGTCTCGACGTATGCCTTCTGTGAAAGTGTCAAGGTGCGTGCTACGCGGTCCCTCGTCACCTTCAGCCCCAATAACCAGCTCAACTCCCCTAGGTCGCTAATCTCGAAGTGCGCGCGCAGCTCGGACTTAAACCGATGGATATGGGATATATGGTTGGCGGTGACGGCCATGTCGTCGACAGAGACGGTGATGACGACGTGTTCGCGCGAGGTGCGTTTGTAGAAAACGGCTTGATCTACTTTTGACCTGCTGAAGCCCATTTCATTGAAGGCTCCAGCTAGCTCCTGCGCCCACTCATATCCTGCTTGTTTGAGTCCAGGTAAGCTTCTTTTCAGCTTCAGTACCTTCCCTTCCTGACCATCCTTCAAGTATCCAGGGGGCGCTCGCATATATATGTCCTCCTGCAGACTCGCATATAGGTACGCACTTTTAATATCGACTTGGTGTATTTCCCAGTCGTGCTGAGCAGCCATCGTTAGGACTGCACGTATTGTGCTCATATTGGCCGTGGGGGCGAAGGTTTCGAAGAAATCGACCCCGTACTTCTGGCGCTGCCCATTTGCAACTAGGCGCGCGCGAAGCTTCAGCTTCTCGCCGTCCGGCCCGCGCTTTGTGGCCAGGACGTAATGGCATGGGATAAGGTTTACGCCTCGAGGTGCGTCTACGATTTCCCACGTACCTAGCTTCTCGAGTTGACTGACTTCGTAATTGATGGCTTCTTGCCACTCTGCAGCGTCTGGGCCCTTCAAGGCTTGTTGGAGGGTCGGTTCTGGTTGGACGGCGGCCAATGCTAGGTGAATATGCGCCTCTTCATCCAAGAGGTCGAGTTCTGACGCTTCCAACAGGCTTTCCATGGTTAGGGCTGCCGTTTGGCCCTCATTCAGCGCCGCATAGTACCCTGGGGGTGGTCTTACCCTCGTCGACCTCGCTTCAGGAGTAGATGGTTGAGGTTGCTGGGCAGTAGACGGTTGAGGTTGCTGAGGAGTAGAAGGTTGAGGTTGCTGAGGAGTAGATGGTTGGGGTTGCTTAGGAGTAGAAGGTTGAGGTTGCTGTGGCATGGTGATGGGCTGGACGCTACTAGGTGAGTTATTATTACCGTTGCCGCTGTTATGTTCGTTGACTACAGCAGACTCCCCCTCGTCCGGCATACCATCGGCTGCCAGGATCGGCGTGAAGGTCACATTCCTCTCCACCGAGACACGCCGTCTGCCGGGCCAATACACCCGGTATCCTTTACTTTCAGCGTCTACCCCCACAAAAACTGCCTCCTCCGCCCTCGCCTCCAGCTTACCAGCCTCCAGCATATGGACGAAGACCCTGGCCCCAAATTCATGGGCCTGCGACAAGTCCGGCTTGGACTTGCGCACCAACTCGTAGGGCGTGCTACCTGGGATCGCCCTTGAAGGTAGGCGATTCTTGAGCCAAGTGGCGTAACTAACGGCCTCGGCCCACAGGTACTTTGGCATATCTCTGCCTAGGAGCATTGCTCTCGCATGCTCGACGAGTGTCCGGTTGAGTCGTTCGGCGACACCATTCTGTTGGGGTGAGTCGTGCACTGTTAGCTGCCGCTCTATACCTTGCTGACGCAAGTATTGATCGAACTCGGCGCTCAGATACTCTCCTCCTCTGTCCGAACGGATTTTGCGCACGCGCACACCTGGTGATTGACGGGCCACCCATGCCTCATAGGACTTGAACGCGGTAAGTGCGTCACTCTTTTGTTTGAGGAACTCGAGTCGCGTCTGCCGGCTAAAGTCGTCCGTGAAACTGACATAATATTTACAGCCTCCCAAACTCGTCGTCTGCGCCGGTCCCCAGAGGTCCGTATGGACTAGTTCTCCGTATGTAAGTGCGCGCATCTTCGTTTCTCTTGGGAAGGACTGCTGAGCTGACTTAGCTTTCACGCAGACTTCACAGAACTGGATGGCGGGCGCCGGATCTATGTCTATGCCCAGGATTAGGCCCTTCTTGACTGCGTCAAGAAGGGCCGCATGTGATACGTGCCCTAGGGCACGATGGACATCATTGATGGTAAGCTTTGTCCTGGCGACGTTGGCACGATGCTTACGGTCGGACGTTACAGCGTAAAGTCCCTGGACTTGGGGTATTTCTGCGATCGTCCTTCGTTCGGGGGGAGCAGACAGTATCCTGCACATTCCTCCTTCGAACAGCACGGCCAAACCGGCGGAGGCGATCTTATTGGTGGAGATAAGGGTAAATGCCATGGAGGGGGCATATAGGACGTCTTTTAGCGTCACGGTCGTTCGTTTCGAGCCCAACGGTAAGTCCATCCTCACGTCTCCTCGTCCTGTCGCATTGACAGTAGCTCCATTCGCAGTGTATATCTTCTGCGGGGCGATCTCAACGAAGGATACAAATTTTGCCCTATCCGGGCAGAAATGAGAGGTCGCGCCGGAGTCTACTATTGCTCCTCGGCGCTCTGGAGGTACGTCCATCGATTTTGCTATGACTGCGAGGTCTGACGTAGCGAAAGCGTAGTTGTCCTTTGGCTCCGGCTCTTTGGCTACATTGGCACTTTGTTTTTGGGTGCGTCCTCCTTGTCTCTGCCGTTGATTCGGCCCCTGACCTTCTTTTCCTCCACCTTTTCGCCAACAGTCACTCTTCCAGTGGCCCTTACGATCGCAGTTCGTACAGACTGCGTCGGGGTTGGATTTTGGAGCCGAGCTCTGCGAGCTCGTGCTCCTCCCTGCATTTGTTCTCGCGGAGAGCGCACTGTTGGTCCCGCGTTTGTTGGGACGTCGTTCGGTGAGTAACCGGTGCTCGTATTCCTCTGTGATGATGGTGATGAGTTCGTAGGGCGAGAGGGGAGTTTTCGTTATCTTGGCCGCTGCGTTCATCGACGACAGTAGCGGCCGGTAGGATTCAGGTAAGGACCCTAGGATGATGGCATGAAAGTCCGTATCAATGACGGCTACCCCCATTCCAGCTAACGACTCCCTCAGGCGCAAAAGCTCTGAAAAATGAGCCTTGACGTCACCACCTTCTTCGCACCTCGTCTCCTGGAGCCTCCGTCTCAGATCTATCTGGACGAGTTCGGTTTTGCCTTCATGTATGTGGCATATTTCCTTCCAGATTTCGGACGCGGATGCTAACTTTTGGACACGTAACAGCAGCCGATCTGTGATCGTGCAAAATATTTGCTGTTTTACGAGTGAGTTCTTTTGTTGATACTCATCGGTCTTTGCGTCGAGCTCATCGATTTCTTTCTGCGTAGGTGTTGTACCATCCGGCTTCGTAACGGCCCCCGTAGAGCTCTTTACGAAAGGCGTAGGCTCTTTAGCTCGTCCATCGGTATATCTCGTAAGTCCTCGTGCACCTATAGCCGTTAACGTCCTTTCCTTGTAGGTTATCCAGTTCGAGCCATCTTCGGCGAGCTTCGGGATGTTAAAAAGGTTTGAATTGGTGCTGGGAGTCGACAAGTCCATGGAGGAGACAGGGCTCATAACCTGTGGAGGAACGATACACGCGGGAGGTTTTATGACACGCTAGAACAAAGGTACGAGTCTCAGTATTCGTTTCGAATCTCTATTAACAATTGTTTGTACCTAGAACAAAGGTACGACTAGATGTACGTCAGCGCTTGCGCTCGAACGTTACAGTGGGACTTGTACTTACGTCTCAGTATTCGTTTCGAATCTGAGACGTTTCGACGAAAACAGCGTCCTCTTATACGGTGAGTCTGCCAGCAATAGCTTTGATGAAAAATATATACTTAAAGAACGAAAAGATTGCCGACGTTGACACGTCGTCGACGTTCTCCGTTTGGAGACGCTCGCACTCGATGTGCTCTATTCTTCGGCCGTATCGTCCTTTCCTTTCTCAGCTCTCTCTCTCTCGGCCTTACTTCCCTCGGACACATCGGCTCTCAACAATTTAGGTTCTCAACTTCTCATTGATATTTCAGTATGGTAATATACTCAGTGTCGCCGACGCACTGCGGATCCAGTCAACGGTATACAGTGTCATTTTTCTACTGCTCAATGCTCGCATGCTAACCCGTCGTACAACATACAGATCCTGGTCACAACCTGTGCTCCAGACTCTCAGCTAGCACGTTGTCCATCCTTTGTCTTTAAAGTAATCCAGGGTCATGGTGTAAGTTCAGACTCGAATAAGAATAAGTCCAAGCGACGCTTTCCGTGCTCCCAACCATATCTGGCGGTAGTATGAGGAGCAGCGTGCGCGCGACACCGAACGGGAACAAAGAAAGGTCGAGTAACCGCACCCCCCGCAACGAAGGGATCTTGACTCTATCTCCTACGTCAACGCATCAAATTGACATGTCAGTACTAGGATTATAATGCAAAGCAGACGGCTAATTATATCTTTGATTATGTAATATGCACTACAAGTCTGCGAAACGGGATGACTACTTATTATTAGTTCCACAGCTTTTGGTATCCAATCAATAACAGGCTTTCTTTGGCCACGGAGTTTCAGGATAGTAAGGAAACATCACCTCTATATCCAGAATCGCCCGTTCCCTGGCATACAGCAACTGGAGGAGTGTGAGGACCAGACTTTGGGCAAGATGATGACAAAGCTTCCTGTGGAGCATTGACATCCATGCTGTACTAGTAGATATTTTCGTCCCTTTCGCCCCACGCGTCCTCTCAAAGAGACGCTGTCATTCACTATAAAGGCTGAACAATCTGGGCATGATGTCCTGTTTTTCTTGATCGCGATATACTGTTCCCCAGCAATGCTGTGCTGGTTATCCCTCGTGCTTGTCTTGGCGACTAATGTCGCTGCGTTTACCGACTCACCCTCTCCAGAATCAAAAGAGCCAAACGATATACCGTCTCAGTGCCAGGCACGTGCCTGGGTGAGAGCACCTGACATGGTTCCTGGCGAAGTCATCGCAGGGGATGTCAGGATCAAACTCAGCGGACCATGCACTGACGCCGAGAGCTATGCGCTAGGCTTGCGCTATAAGGAAAGAATATTCTGGAAGTTGCGGTGAGTTGTTTTCTCGCTTTCGTATCCTCCACTGAGCATCCCGACAGACGGGAAGATGCGCCGATTCTGGAAAGGCCCAAATTGACGCATAATTGGACGGTCTCGAACAGTGATTTGTTCCGAGTCCGGAACTTCCAGAACGTAAACTACAACGAAACAGAATGGAGTGCGTACGAGAACTCAATTAAGAATAAGGACTCGTGGACTATACACGAGGAAGAACGAATTGCCTTTGAGATCAAGAGTCCTCTGGCTGGTGCAGGGAGGACAGGTACGAATTGAGATTTTGAGCTGACTCAAAGCTTAATGCAAAGAACAGATACATTGTCAAGAAACTTCACGACCCGGTTCGGAATTCTGGTACCAAATACAAACTACCCTCCAGGATTAGACAGTCGTGCAGGCTTCATGTCTAAGGGGGAGCGGCTGATGTAAGAACAGTCTTTGTTGATTTTGTCTTGTGCTCAGTGTCGTTTACAGATAATATCTAGTGAATCGATTTACGAGTACTTTGTCGAAATCGAGTTTGGCAATGGTACCACTTCAGAGATACCTGCCGGAGTGACAGCCTTTACCCCGTTCTACCTCTCGATGGAAAACAACGCACCCAGTGCTAACGTATCTCTGTCTCCTGCACCCCCCGGTTTTAACACGAAACCATCAGTAGACGGGTTGCGGAGTAACTACACGGTTGAAGTATCTTTTCCTGAAGGAGCACACGTCTATCGAAGTATGTCTCAGTGAAGTGGAAACCTTAACGCAGCGATCTGATTGGATGCTTTCTAGACTCATCCGTGAATTTTACGACCATTGTTCATCGGACAGGATATACGAATCGGACAGACATTCCTGTAGAGCTGTGTGCGTTCTCGGCGAATGGCATTGAATGGAATTCTCAGGAGCTCCAGAACAAATCACAGATGTTTAAACCATTCATCAAAGCATTGGTCCCCTCCATTATCCACGTGGAGCATTTGCGATCCTCTCAAGTCGTAACCCCTCATCCAGTACCTCGTTCCCCATGCAGAGAGATCAATTTTGCGGCAACTCCTGCATCCTTGGCTCACGAAAGCTACATCATTTCCACGTCCTCCGAACCGCTTTCATTATCCCTCCACGTGCAACACGATGCTGTTCCAGATTTTTCAACTTACTATCACAAACTGGGACTTCGTATCAGTCTGCAACTCCATATCGCGCCTGATCCATCAGAGCCATGCGATAATGAATTCGAGAAGATACAACGAGAGAAGCAGATTGCGGATGCAGATGAACTCGATTGGGTGCCCTGGACGCCGCCAACGCAGACCATAGCCGATTCCTTTCCGGCGACACCAATATACTGTCAGTCATTCCAATGCAGAAGCAGGAACCTGTGCGATCAACGCCAGTCCACTACCTGTCTGACAACGCTCGCCAACCAGTATTTGTTGATCCGTCAGAGATCTCTGACCTTCGTTTGATGTTGCCCGAGGAACGCGACTTCATTGCCCCACTCGCGCAGCCGTCTATAAAGGTGTTTGGCATGGGAGAAGAAATTTCACGCAGATATTTCACTGACGCTAACATATGGTACCCGATATACGTTGGGGACACCTGGGTCAAGAAAGTATTACCTATGATTACTAAGGATCAGGGCGAGAGTCATACTGTGGACCACTTGCTCGTTGTGCAGTGATCAGTTGATGTAATGATGCCAGGAGGTAGTCGTAAGTTCAACATAGTGTGTGGTGATTCACACACGATGAAATTTAGGTTCTCAATTTCTCATTGATACCTCAGTACGGTAATACTGTACTCAGTGTCGCCGACGCGCTGCAGATCCAGTCAACGATATACAATGTCATACTTCTACTACCCAAGACTTGCACGCTGACACAGATCCTGGTCACAACCTGTGCTCCAGACTCTCAGCTAGTACGTTGTCGATCATGTGTCTATAAAGTAATCCAGGGTCATGGCGTAAGTCCAGACTCGGATAAGTCCAAGCGACGCTCTCCGTGCTCCCAACCATATCTGGCGGTATGAGGAGCGGCGTGCGCACGCCACTGAACGGGAATAAAGAACGGTCGAGTAACCGCACCCCCCGCAACGAAGGGAGCTTGACTCTCTCTTCGTGAGGAACGAGAGTCACAGCTGACTGTTCGCTTGGATCCAAAAATTTTATCGGAACCCATAAGTCTACCCATGTCAAATGTGCATGCATAGGCATTCGGATTGGAAAATGCGTGTCTATGGCGAGGTGGCGTAAATTTGGACACATGGAAAGTAGTGGAGTCACTAGTGGGGCAGGAGGAGGGGGAGGAGAGTAGAAAAACCTAAGATGGACATTCGTCATATGTGGCCTAACCAACGAGACAAAGTGGAGACTGTGTCCGAATTTACGCAACAGTGGCTCAATAGTCGCGCCGCCAGCAGCTGGTGATGTCAAAAGGAGACGTCGAAGAGAGGGGAGGCTGAAGATTTCAGCCAGCGCAGAAAAGACGTTCATGACGTGTTGGTGCGGCTGCCAAGTAATGTGCAGCTCTTCCAAAAAGGCAAGATGTATGTGCCCGGTGGGGAGCGCATCGTTTCCTCCGGTGAACATATCGATATGAAAAGTAGTGAGGCATGTGAAAGCCGGCAAGAGGTTCAGGGTTTCTATCAGCGTGGGATTGACACGGAAGTGCAGATCTGTGGTGCGAGAGGGGGTGTTCTGCGCGAGAGCGACCATGCGGAGAAACTCGTGACCAAGAAAAAAGTGGCGTCCGTTCAAGATGGGCGCAATGGTAACTTTAGTAAGATTTGGAGTCACTGCTAAGATGTCGTCCAGAGTCATTGAGACTGTAACCGCCTGCGACACTGAAACATAACACTGCAGGTGCAGAGATAGTATTAGCTCGCTAAGGCTGCGGTTGTTCGAAACAGCATGTGCAAGCGCGAAGAGTTGCTTGCTATGCAGAATCACAACATGGCGATAGAGGAAGCTAATGCCGACATTATACCAGTACCTGGATACTAGCACAATGTTCCTAAGAGTCTGCAGCGAACAAGACCGTGAGGAACGATTGTCACGAGCAATGACAGTGGAATCTAGGAAATGCTGAGTCGGTGGCATGGTGAACTCCATGATAACGCTAAGGATCTCAACTGGAATTTCGGCTATATGCGTCGGTGGCAGGACTTGATATATCTGAGCAGACGATGAGTAGTGATAATAAGAAAGACAGGAAAACTACCTCTGTGCAGTCCGCATTCGCATCCATGTCCGGCACCTGATCATAGGTAATTGTCCTGCTCGGGTTCATCTTGGGAGCGTCAAGCCAAAATCTCAGTGATTGTTTGGTTATTCAACGAGGTCGACTTACCAATAGCATAGGATCCATGATGCACCCGCGAAGAATACGCTGACTGGAACAAAAATATGTCTTTTTATCTCTCCGCTCTCGGAGCCGTAGTGATGAATCTGTGACTTTGGAGTACAATCACGGTCCCGCAATGACTCTTCGCGACTAGGGATGTGAAAATTCTTGGCGTGAGGGATTTGATGCGTGCATGGTCCCATACCTGCTGTCAAAAGAGGTCGAAGGTCACATTGACAAAGATGCGGCTGTCCAGCAACGAATTCCGTTGCCATCTGCACCCTCATCAAGGTGATTGCGCTGACGTGCGAATGTGACATAGAACGCCTGGAAACTTCATCGTAAATCCCACTATCATGGGAGAACTCCTGCTCGGAGGGTGCAAAAATTCACGAGTCAGCTACTAGCATTCAGGTCCCGAGACAGCCGACTCGAATGCCGAAGGGCAGTAAGATGCTACAAGGAGCGTTTTATTACTCACTCCCGCTCAGTGTCCGGTTTGTTGAGGGTGACTGGCAATTTTGGCAAAACTTGAAGTAACATCTTGCTTAGTCACCAGGTACCATAAATGCCGCATCACTACCGCACCACAAAGCATAGATTTCACGACTGTAACTAGTATATGGTACATCAAAACAAATTATCAATTGGCTGAAATGTGCTATCTGTGCACATGCGTGCACTATTGTAGTTGCAGAACAGAAGAAAAATTCCAGAGTTGGCCGAAAATATTTTGACTCGACGTCGCTCAGCAGCACTTGTGGTTGAACAACTTCGCACAGATGAAATTGAGGTTTTCAACTTCTCATATATTAGTACGGTAATATACTGAGGTAGTGCACTGCAGATCTAGCCAACGATATATAATAACATTCTTCTACCCAAGACTCGCACGCTAACCCGTCGTACAACATACAGATCCTGGTCACAACCTGTGCTCCAGACTCTCAGCTAGCACGTCGTCTATAATTTGTCTATAAAGTAATCCAGGGTCATGGCGTAAGTCCAAACTCGAATAAGTCCAAGCAACGTTCTCCGTGCTCCCAACCATATCTGGCGGTATGAGGAGCGGCGTGTGCGCGCCACTGAACGGGAATAAAGAACGGTCAAGTAACCGCACCCCCTGCAACGAAGGGAGCTTGGCTCTCTCTTCGTGAGGAATGAGAGTCACAGCTGACTGTTCTCTCCGATCCAAATATCTTCTCCAAACCCATAAGTCTACCCATGTCAAGTGTGCATGCGCAGGCATTCGGATTGGAACATATGTGTCCGTGGCGAGGTGGCGTAAATTTGGACACATGGACAGTAATGGAATCACTGGTGAGGGAGAGGGAGGGGGAAAATGGTTGTACTGAAAAGCATGGTAACAGTTGCTAACCAACGAGACAAAATGGATACTGTGTCCAAATTTACGCAACAGTGGCTCAAACACCGTACTATGAGGAACTTTTGTTGTCAAAAGGAGACGTCGAAGAGAGGGGAGGCTGAGGATTTCAGCCAGTGCAAAAAAGGCGTTCCTGACATTTCCCCGTGGGGAGAAAGTAACGTGCAGCTCTTCCAAAAAGGCAAGATGTATGTGCCCGGTGGGGAGTGCATCGGTTTCTGCGACGAACATATCGATATGGAAAGTGGTGAGGCACGTGAAAGTTGGCAGGAGCTTCAGGGTGTTTATTAGCGTGGGATTGATGCTAAAGTGCATATCTGTGGTGCGAGAGGGGATGTTCTGCGCGAGAGCGACCATGCGGAGAAACTCATGACCAAACCAAGGGCGGCGTCTGTTCAAGATGGGTGCAATGGTAACTTTGGTACGATTTGGAGTCACCGCTAAGATGCCGTCCAGAGCCATTGAGACTGCAGCCATCCGCGACTCTAAAACATAACACTGCAGGCGCAGAGATAGTATGAACTCGCCGAGGCTGCGGCTGTTCGAGACGACACGTGCAAGCGTGAAGAGTTGCTTGCTCTGTAGAATGACAACATGGCGATAGAGGTAGCTAATGCCGACATTATACCAGTGCCTGGATACTAGTACAATGTTCCTGAGAGTCTGCAGTGAAAAAACCCGCGAGTGACGATTGTCGCGAGCAATGACAGGGGAATCTAGGAAATGCTGAGTCGGTGGCATAACAAGCTCCATAATAATGCAGAGGATTTCAACCGGAATTTCGGTTGTAATAGGCGTCGGTGACATAACTTGATGTATCTGAGCAGACGATGAGCGATGATAGTAAGAAAGATCAGAAAATTACCTTTGTGCAGTTCGCATCTATGTCTGATACCTGATCATAGGTAATGATGTTGCTGGGGTTCGCCTTGAAAGCGTCAAGCCAAAATCTCAGTGATCGTTTAGTTGTTATCCAACGAGGTTGACTTACCAATGGTGTAGGATCCATGATTCACCCGCGAAGTGATACACTGACTGGAAAAAAAATACGTCCTTTTATCTCTCCATTTTCGTGGTCGTAGTAGTGAATCTGTAATTTTGGAATATAATCGCGGTCCCGCATTGGATGACTCTTCGTAACTAGGCATGTGAAAATTCGAAACTTGGCATGGCATGATCCCATACCTCACCCGGCAAGCTGTCAAAGGACGTCAAAGGTCACACAATAAAGTAAATATTGACAAGGATGTTGTCCAGTAACAAGTCTTGCCGCACCTCGGCACCCTTGTCAAACTGATTGCGGGGAACATAAAGCGCCTGGAAGGCATCGCAAATACTACTATCATGGGAGAACTGCTACTGGAAGGATGCAAAATTCATGACTCACCTACCAGCGTGCAGCTCCCGAGATAACCGACTGACTCCGCTTGTCCAGTTTGCCGAGGGGGTTACGCTGGTGCCTACTGTCAAAAGATTTACCTCTAAAGGATCGTAACTCTCGAACGACTTCGTCACTGCCAATCAGCATCCAATTCCTCAATGCAGTCAGGGAAAATCATCCGCATCATTTGCAACCACTCTGTATCAGGTTCGCACTCCAACCACGTCGCCTTTAATGCATCCCAGGAAATTGGCATCCACCCAAAGTACTCCCAATCGATGAAGCAAATCTTCTCCGCCCGATCGCCAATGATTGAGGCCACTCGGAAAAATCAAATTCTTTGGAAGAAGATCTGAATACGACAGGAACTCCGTCGCGCTCGATGAGAGGTCGTAGCAAGGGTTGCAACGTGTCGCGATTCATCGGCCAATCCAGTCCAAACCTCCGCAGCGAGGTCTGAAGAGGATGGAAACATCTAGAGATTTTCCCGAGCCACCCACGGAATGCGTGGATCGTCAAAGGGACCGCCTGAAGCGTTGCAGATCGCACGAAGCTCGTAAGACCGGGTCTGA